AGTTTTTCACGTTCGCCGGTTGCGCTCTGCCGTTTCTACGTGAAGGCAACCTGTTTCGCGTTTGACGTGTAAGTAAAATTTTCTTCACTTTTTCTCTCACAGAGTAGAAAGTTAATTGCCGAAAAAGGGCACCAAAACTATTCCCTGTAAGTCATTCAGGGACGCCTCAAATCCACCATGACGTGAGCTCATGCGAAGCTACAGCAGCAAGGGTCACGCTATTTTACGTCAAACGCGAAAGGGCAAGCTGACGTTTGCCGTTTCCCCTGAACGTGGTGCTAAATTCTCCAATAACTTAATCAGCATCGAGAGTTTCTTAGGCCAATGACAATGAACAGTAAAAAAAAAAAAAACATCCAATAGAGTAAAAAGCAAACTTACAGGCTTCCTTTAAAAAACACAGTCCTTCTGTTACGATTAGTATACACGCTGTTGATGGGCGTCTGGAGCTCCTTCCATTTTGATATGATCTTTATTGGACCCTCATCAATTTCGAGGCGAGGAGATAACGACCAAAAATATTCTCCGCTAAACACATATGTCCTACCGTCTGTGCCCATCATGAAAGCGTCAAATTTCGTCACTTTGCAAAGATCAAGAACTGGCCGTATATCAGGGGTGGTTGGTTTCTCTGTAACTGTTTGTGTCGTGGGCTTAGTCGCGGAAATCGTAGTTTCTTTAGTCGTCGTCGCCTCCGTAGTTATTGGGGGGTTGGTTGTTGTCTCTTCGGTGGTAGTCGGAGAGGTTGTTGTCGTCGATTCGGTGGTAGTCGGAGAGGTAGTTGTCCTCACTTCGGTGGTAGTCGGAGAGGTGGTTGTCGTCGCTTCGGTGGTAGTCGGAGAGGTGGTTGTCGTCACTTCGGTGGTAGTCGGAGAGGTGGTTGTTGTCGTCGCTTCGGTAGTCGTCGTGCTTTCCGTAGTTGTTGCTTTAGTTGTCGTTGTTTCTGTGGTGGTTGGGGCGGTGGTGGTTGTTGGCGGACTGGTCGTGGTTGGTGGACTTGTGGTTGGTGGTTTTCCTAGAATTAAGTTCAACGATGGGACTTTTTTTTAACATTGAAACAAATGATGTTTAGAGGGTAACATATCCGAATATAAAATCCACAAATGAAGGCATTTCGGAGAATTTGTTTGAATGGCACGTATCGTTTTAGTAAGCTATTACAACTAGTAAGTGTTAAAAGAGAAGATGAACATTTATATCCATCCCATTGGGCATAAAAATTGTATAAAATTTTCAGGGACGAAGTGAAATTCAACTATCGCAGCGTAAGAAAATGGAAATTCTGAGTACGTGTTGCGAACCTACTGTATTGCGCGGGCATCTCAGATACTCTACGACCTCGGTATTGATGTAGCAGAGATATATCCCGACAAATAATGATACTTACTGGATGCACAAGGAAGAGAAAAGTATATATAACCATAGGCAATTGATTCTTCATTGGACACTTTTCACAGAATGCGATTCTAATCGAGGCTTCCCAATTTCTGGATCGACAGGAGCGAGAAGGCCAACTAGCTCAGGTTAAGTTCATTGCTATAATCCCGTTAACTCCCAGAGGTAATTAAATCGTAACTTCTTCCTATAATATCCTATACATTACTCAGCAAACATGTAATAAGAATACTGAAACCTATTAGGTAGAAGTTGTTATCTTGATTTATTATATGGCTCTGTCTCACAAGGACTGGGAACTACCGAATTCACGAAATTGATTGGCTGAAATCAATATTGAAAGTGGTCTAGATTTTCCCATCTAGACCGGCATCTAGACCGGTCTAGAAAAAAAGGTACAAAGAATATAAAAAATTGGCATATAAGACACAGCCATATAATAAACATCTTATTAACCGAGCTAGGTCGGTCTGTACGGGAGATTCTTGACCTCGGTCGCTGGTGCAGACCTCACTGCGTTGTACTGGCGACCTCGGTCAAGATTCTCCCATACAGACCTCCCGCTCGGTTAATAAGAACTAAGTAATACCAAATTCATGTGACTGTTTTATAAGGAAATGTGTAGCAGTTAAAGGGGAGAATTTACAATCAGATCTTAAGAATTAAAGGGTTAAGTTCAACGCACTTACCATAAATATCCTGTATACCAAGGATATCATCCTCAGTGAGCTCGATATTTGGAAAAAACCCCTTGTACCACGGGTACATGATGGATTCCCGTACGTTGGAATGTCCTAGACCCATGCTATGTCCAAACTCGTGAATTGCCACCCAATCCAAGTTAATGCCGTCTGGTGTCCCTGTGGTAAACCTTTCATCGTCATCAAAATGAGCGTCACCAGACAAGCCTAGGAGGGACGTGGTCATTTGAAAAAAGATGATATATACTCAATAACAACATTAAGGAATAACATAGGTGGTCTTTTCGCTTCACGACTATATCGTGCCGGACGTAAGTATCTGGTGATGGACTGTTGGATAAAATACCACATGATCGAAAATCTTTGTGTAATTTTCTGGGAAATCATAGAACATTTAAGCGTGAACTGAAATGTTCTTTCATCCCGTGAACCTTTCGTAATGGGTCGAAATAACAGTACAGTCTCGTTAATTTTTGTCAGGTATCAGGACTGTTGACGTTATGCTCGTGTAAAAACCATATATTTCGCCTACACACGCAATAAAAGATTTACTATAGGTGCAGTGTACAAATAGCTTAAAAAGATTTTATACCGTAGCAGATTTATGCAGCTCTCAAATAAGCTGCCCTCGATTAACCACTGGAGGTGGAGAGAAAATAACCAATACACGCCGTATGTGGATGCAAAATGACCAATCAACGCCACTCGAATATCATTGCTACTGATAAAGCAAAATGACCAATAAACGCCGTTCTCTAGAGAACAAACATCGTTTTTCCGACAAAGGAGAATTTCAAATAAACGCTTCAGAAGAAAATGGCGTTTATTCGAGTATGATATCAAGAAAAGAATTGCAAACACGGCACGTTTCGCTAATCTATGCCATCACTGGCGGGTATCTCAAATCAAGTCTACGGAAATGCTAAAAATTTAATCAAACCCGCTTCGTTAATCAGTTAAATACGGTCATGTACTGACCTCTGTTGTGGTGTGGGTAATACGCATGCGCTAATGTCCCTCCTGGACCGTCAAAGGGGTACGGATCAAAATGGTAGCCTGAAACAAATGAAATTAATATTTCCACGTCATCATTAGGCACTGATGGATCAGTTTCCTCCCGGACGGTAAGTGTACTAACGTCTGCCCATTTTTTAATCATTTTTCTAAGAATATCTCTCTGGACGTCAACAGGAAGATCTTCCGTAGGTGTCAAGAAACGGTAGGTCAGGTCCTGTGGAGAAAAGAAGAGCAAACATTGCCTTTGTTACGCAGTTTAGGTAAACATTTCCCTCCCAGAACAGTACCAGTCAAGAATGTCTTGATAAGTGTTGATAATCTTTTATAGAAGTAAAAGTTTTTTAAGTGCTCCTTGGTCATATAGGTAGAATTGCAAGAAACTACTCGAGTGTAACTGCTATGAGACTTGTGTTATCACAAAAGCTATTTCAAGGATGATTTTTTTTTTGCTATTGGTGTGTGAAAGGAGAACTGTTTCGGTTCGATGATGGTGTATTAAATGAGGATGAAGGATTCATCGGACCTTGGAGAATGTAAACCTCGCATGGACTTAAAACCCTATTTTGTACACGAAAACGCCTTTTCAAATGCTATTTACCCTTTTCTGCCATTCTGTTCCTTGTTTGTTATAGCGTTTAACTCTTCTTCTTGATTCAAGTGAACCGACCGTTTGGTTTTCGTCTTCTCTCTCCGAGACGCCACATCGAGGTAACACAAAAAGCTTCTTCGTTTCATAATCCAACTTTCCAGTTACATTAAGTCCAGCCCGATACTGAATTTTTGCAATCATGTCCGTAAAATTGACGGCCTGTCCAGGTTTTTTCACCTTGTAGTTTTCCATCCATTTCTGGAAAAGGAATGAGTCAGTTAAAATCAGTAGCTTTGCAGTGGACGTAAAGGCGGTGGAAAACAACACTCACAGTCGATTAAAGATTTTAATTTACAAAGTACAAGGCAACACTTTCAGACGCTCAAGACCCACTATCCACGCCGCCATTTGAACTTTGGCGCTTAGCCCGTTACTGGAGTCGGCATGGCCTTTGTTCAAGCCCTATCGTTAGTGTTACGGCACGAGAAATTTTTAAGTGGTTAGGTTAAATTTTTTGGATTTTAGAGTTACATTAAGAAAGATTTTAACAATTTTTTTAAAGTATTTTTTATTGGCGGGGCATACTTCTCCGTCACTTTTTGGCTGAATCGGTTTTTGCCAAATGCCAGCTAATGAAAACAGCTTTCACAAGACCCGAAAAAAAACCCGAAACATGAATATGTTCAAAATATAGATTTTTTGCGGCACAAGAATGCTGCACCGTTAAAATCGGCTCGTGTTAAATCACACTTGATGTCGTCCATGCGGACTGAAAGTCACGCAAGATCGCCATACCTATGGCTTTTGGGTATAGGTGAGACGCAACAGATCTGAGAGTACGGATAGATCCTGAAGGTTACTGTGCGTTTCTTTTCCTGGACAAGCAAAATCAAATGAGTATTGAGGGCCACTAGTTACTCAGTTGAAGCATTGTCCTGTGTTACCCTCGTTAAATAAAGTTGATTGATTGATTGATATTGAGTGTTCGCTCAACCGATTATACAACGGAAGAACAAGAGAGGTAATCGGGTATGTGAAAAAAAAAAAAACATAATCCAATTCAATATCTTTCCACCGATAGGCAAAAATCACGAAAAGAAGTACGTAAAAAATCTTACGATAACAATTCAATCGGCTTAAGTGTGTAATTTTTCGCAACCGCTTTGAGCAAAATGCTGCACGTAGGGCGCCTGCTTGAGGAATAAACTTACAACCGTTAAGAATATTAATTTTTCTTGTTTACTTCAGAAGTCCATCTCACTGGGCTGTAAGCGTATTACGTGGGTTTTAAAATGCATTTTTTTTAAAAGAAGAGTGATGCGTTTGGCTGAGAACACTCGCCTTCACATACCATGTAGTCTGGCTGTGTAAAGTAGAGCCAAGCCCAAATTTTAACACGAATACCAAAAATTCACAACATCGCTGATTTTCAATTTGCCATGCGGGACCCTTTTCCCTCAAACATAAGTTTGAAAGTCCCTCACACCCCTCCTCGTTTTTCTTCCCAACAATCGCCCTTCGCAAACTTTACAAGCGGCGTTTAGAACAAGAGAATCATTATTACAGATTTATAATTGTACTTCTGTTTCTTAAACTTCAAACTTTATGCTTCAAGCTACATTCGATAAAAGACAGAGTAGGGGATACATTTAAATATTTTGGTATTTGGCGATCGTAGGCATTAGACGTTGAATGAAACGTTCGTACAATTTTCGACGTGTTCATATTCCCACCGGACGTGAGGATCGGCGGAAGTGTCTTCGATCGATGACAAAAGCCATGCCAGACAAAAGAGCATTTACTACTTTGTAAGAAGAAAAGCGCTTTGAATTTTTTTTTTATTTTTTTGTTTCATAAAATGTAAGTGCTCTGGTGAAATTGTTTGCACTGCTTTCGCTACATTATCTTGTTTTGATAACCCGTCTGAACCTATGTCGCAATGAGCGATTTGAGAGAAAGGTCTGCCCGTTCCAAGGCTACAAATGGAAACCTAACTCCCTCATACAAAGGCAACACTTACGAAACAATATTCGGTGTCCACTTGATTGATTTGTTCTTGGGATGGCTTGCTTGGATCGTTCATAGTCCCTGAAATCGGTGCTGCAGAAGTTCGATCGCAACACCACAGACAAAGTAAAGCGATGAAGGTGATGAAAAGCCATGTTGAAATAAAGCTTTGAATGTTCAGCTTTGACCTTGTGGAATCCATCCTGGCCTTTCCAGGGGCCTCTAGGAACAACGGCCTCGGCGTGGCTCTTTATCAGCTGAAAGTGACAGCAACTGTCCTGAAAACGGACCTTGAGGTATCTTTACGTAAACTTGAGACGTTTGTGAAACCGCGACCAACTAAATCAAACATGTAATGTGACACTACTTTGTAAACGAGATAACATCTCTGTACAGGAATTTTTATTAGTCACATCAGGTCTATTTTGTTGAATATTGTCATCTGTCACTTGTTGTCTTCCTGCAATTGAAAGTGTGGTATTCAAATCCATCGAAGGCGTTTTACAAAGTTTATAAATCAATCTACTGGATAAATGAACCAACTTGGATGTTTTTTACATTTTGTGACTGGAATTTTTTATCTGTGTTTCGAAGTTATCTTTTAGCCCTTTTCTGGCAATAGAGAACTTCTCTTTTTAGTATCACACGACGGAACAACTCATATAGTTCACTGGCGCAACAAGTATAAAACTTTTTGTTGATCATTCGGGACACATTTTAGTGAAGCTGATGTCTGTATCTGTAAAAAAAAAAAAAAAGAAAAAGAGAAAACTTAACTAGGTTTTTATTAATTGCCTTTTCATTTGCTTTTCGCAAAATTCGAGAACGTTTCAGTTTTATCAATCCGGATGCGGCCTATGTTCCATTTTACATTCTAAAGAAACTGACATGATTTGTGACTACTTTCAAGAGAGAAGTGATTAACAAGATGATATCAAATTCAATCCATCCCACACGTATTTGACCTCCCATTAAAAGTTGATTTCCACTCTTGTCGACTGACTTCACGTACGTTAACGTTGATACGTCACAACACCCGGGTGTTGTGCACCCCGAGATGATTTTTCAAATTCCCTCTTCCGATCTTAGTGGGAGGACATATTACTGCTGCTGCGCATTCCTTTACAAACTAGTTCTCAGGATAATCAGGTTTTATACCCGCTGACAACGGAATATTTCTAATATGTAGATTTGCGTAATCGCATCTCCTTGTTGGATGATGTGCTGACATCACAAAGAGGTTAGTTATATTTAACAATTATTCGCCGAAGGCGAGGTGAATATCGTCGAATAATCCCCCGAGACGAAGTCGAGGGGATTATTAGACAATATTCACCGAGCCTGAGGCGAATAATTGTTGTAGTATAATTTCAGAGCTGAGCAACAGAGAAATTTCTAAGATCATAACATTTTAGTAACATTTATCTTAAGGAACCGCTCGACCAATCAGATTGCTGGAAACTCTTTGCTCAGCCCTGAAATTATACTATTTAGTCAAGACAGGTGGTTGTAAACCAGTTTTACGTTAGTGAAATACGATAGAAACAGGGTAGGGAGAGCCCGCCCGTGCAGAAAAAAAATGGATTACAGTTTAGCATTTTTCACAGACTGAACCACCCTCTGCTCCTTTTCTATTTTCTTTACGAAAATTTTGCGACAGGAGCGGAAATCCAGCTTAACAACTTCTTAGCCCGAATAAAAACATGATATTTGTCGTCAAGTCAAATTCTCGCCTATTTGCTTTTGTATCACTCTCAGCTATATTCCGTTGAGATAATCAGCACATGTTATAGATAGCAAGAAAGTTCAGTTTGGATACTTAAAATATTGTCAAAAATTTTTTGCGAGCTAATCGCGTTTCAAGTGCCGAGAGATAAGCTTCGATATCTTGCCTCAATCCAGTTGGGCCGTCAATATATCACTGAACATGGGACAATATGGACTAAAATTAGGTCACCATTTTTAGAAGATACACGTATAGTGACGTAGCTGGCTGAAAACGCTGGAAACAGTGGAAGGTAGCGCACGTGACATGAGCGAACTCGATTATGTATTTGTCGCCTCGCAGCGCTTTTACTTTTCGCGCCCTTCAACCGCAGCAAAGAGGCAAGCATGGACGCCAACATCGTGCAATAATGGACTTGTTATCAGACCTTTTATCATCTTTTTCCTTTTTTTTTTCTTAATCTCAAAACGTAACACCATGGCAAGGTGCACAACTGAAAAACTTCGAAATTGCTGCGGTCGGAACGACTAAGCCACTCATCTGTTTAAACCGGCGAAGATCGAGCGAGGATCTTTGCACGAATTCGGGATGCATTATTGATGCTTAGTGCAAACCGGGAGCAGATAAGCCAGCAGAGTGTTCCATAAGGGTGAGCTGCGTCATTTCCGGCTGTAATATCGAGAACAAGAGAGCATCTTTCAAAAGAAGAGTAGGTTTTCGCAATCTGTGACGTCAACTTTATCATTCATGAAAGAATTGAGGGCCGGGTTTAAGTAGTAAGTGATTTGTCTCACGCGATGACGAATTTAACGACAAATGGCGAGGGTTATTTCCATATGCATCAAGTACTCACTGTAATTCAAACTTATCTAAAACTGACTCATGAATTTTACTTTATTTGTCACCTGAATACATTACAGCTGTCAGTTCTCTCTCCCATAAAGAGCTACAGGTGGCCTCCCCTTAATCTTCGAGAACTGATAGATCAGTAATTTTCCCTTCCTGTTGTCAATTAGTCGAGGGAATTCGTTGTCTTCTCGAGAGAACTTCTTTGCCTCAGAAGGTGGCTCATTTTCATCGCTAGTTCGCTGGGAAAAGGATTTTTTTTCTAACGAAGTGGGATATTATTCAAATGACATCCAGAGGATAAACTGTATGATAATTATGCATTCTAAGAGTTAGAGAGCTAACAAGCTAAACCTAATTGAGCGAAAGTGACTTGACTAGCTTATCATAAACCGCGCCTTCATCAAAACGCTTTTCCATAAAATCCATTTGGATTCTAAACACAGCATTTTAATGGAAACTCGCAACAGAACTCATAACTGGTTTCCTAAAGCTCAGTAATAAGACCTCCAACAGGCGAACTGCTTTGTTGACTTTCCCTACACCTCATCCACTTGGCCGCTATCGACTTGGGATATCCTCTGTCCACTCTGAGCCGGCTTTTTCTGAGGTAAGGCTGTGGTAGTCGTAGTCTGTAGTAACGGTCTCCTTTGAAGATGTAAACTCTGTTTTTCATCCAAGTCATTGCCGCGTCAGGATTTATCAAACGTCGATCTGGCAATCGTCCAACTGACAATCGTCGTCGCCTATTCTGCCTTCCACTGAGGCGCCAGTATCTTATGCCTTTGAGAAAATACGTCTCTGTAGATCTTCTGGTATTGTAGGTGAAAGATGCATCGATGCTGCCTGTGAGGCGCCACAATCTGTACCGGCTACTAATAAATCCGTTAGTGGAAGTGAGATTAAAATCTCTGTACTCCCAATATCTGCAAAAAAGGGTCAGTGCCAAGGGTAAGTACACCGGATTGTCAGTGAATGAGATGCCTCTTTGTAAATTGAAATGCTTTCAAACGCATGTAGTTTAACTGGTTTGGAAAAGGTGGAATTGTAAACCCAAGTGATAGTGGTATACACGGTTGCACAATCAAGTCTTTGAATACATATATGAAACGAATTAAACGAATTAATGAATAAAAAATTAAGATAAGAATAATCAATTGTTTAAGGCGATAAGTGAAAAAAAAGAAAAAATAATAATTAAAGGATCGAGTGAATGAATGAAGAACTGAACGAATGAATGGATGAGTGAATTACTGAAAAAAATTACCAGAAAAATTACTTTCTACTGATTTTCTTTTGCTGAAATAAAATTCATTACCTTCTTCCTTTGAGAAATACAATATTTCCATTTCTGTTACGAAAAGCTGCATCTACGGGACATGCAACATCACTCCAGACGTCTGTAATTTTTTTAGGTTCACTTTTCACCAATGAGCTGGTGACTGTCCAAAACTGTTCTCCTGAAAAGAAGTACATCAATCTGTTCAGACGAAACACAGCGTCGTAACGAGTTCCCGGTAAGCAGGCTGGGTGATCAGGCTGTTTTGTGGTAGTCGGTATTTCCGTTGAAGGTGGGGATTCTGTGGTCGTTCGCAACTTTGTTGTAGATGGTAACTCTGACGTAACTGGTGACTCTGTGGAGGCTGGTGATTCTGTTGAAGTTGGTGATTCTGTGGAGGTTGGCGATTCTGTTGTAGTTGGTGCTTCTGTTGTAGTTGGTGCTTCTGTTGTAGTTGGTGCTTCTGTTGTAGTTGGTGCTTCTGTTGTAGTTGGTGCTTCTGTTGTAGTTGGTGCTTCTGTTGTAGTTGGTGCTTCTGTTGTAGTTGGTGCTTCTGTTGTAGTTGGTGCTTCTGTTGTAGTTGGTGTTTCTGTTGTAGTTGGTGCTTCTGTTGTAGTTGGTGATTCTGTGGTGGTTGGCGCCTCCGTTGTGGCCACTACCGGAGCTGAACAAGACAGAGTGGTTACTAATTTTCTATTTCACTTTCACACTTTTTATTTCAAACATAAAAGTTCATTATAGGATTCTTATAAAAACGAAACAAAAACAAAAACAAAAGAAGCAAAACAAAATAAAATAGAACAAAACAAACAAAAACCACCACAACCACAATAAATAAAGAAAACTTACCTCCATACAATTGCTGAATACCTAAAACATCGTCTCTGTTGAGCTGGACATCCGGGACATAACCTGTGTAGAATGGATACATAATGGCTTCCCGTACGTCTGAATGAGCCAGACCCAAACTGTGTCCAAACTCGTGAATCGCCACCCAGTCGAGGTTGATACCTCGGGGTGTTCCTGTGGTGAACTCTTCATCGTCATCAAAATGAGCGTCACCAGAGAGACATTTAATAATGTATAAAGTAATGTCATCAGAAAACTGCAGCATATTAGGACTGTTTCACCGCACTCATTACTTAATTGCTTGGAATTGCCCTCAATTTAAGCAGTTGGAAAATCCTTATTAAAAAAGTGTCAAGAAACATACGTGACAACACCCACCGCGCCACGACTAAGGCTAAAAAAGATCCATACAATTGCTTATAATAACATTATAAGGAATTGTATGAAGCTCTCTGGGATACTTACAGTGTAAGCCCTGTGTGTCTTCTCATGGTCATGACCTAAACGTACACCTTAATTCAGAAACAGTCTTTTGACTGCTGTAAATTTGAAACCCACTTGAAAAGCCTTTTCACCTCTAATTAAATCAATTTTCTACTTCTCACCCACCCACTCCACCCTGGAATGCACCTCACCTCGATTATTGAGGGGAAAGAACGCATGAGCCAATGTCCCCCCTGGTCCGTCGAATGGGAATCCGTCCCTATGATCCCTTGTGACGAAACTAATAAGGATGTCCGCATCACTCGGCGATTGTACCTCTGTGAATCGTAATGTTGAAGCAGATTGCCACAAGTCTAAAGCATTACGAAAGACTTGCCTCTGTGTCTCTGGAGGTATACCGTCGTTCGTGAAGTTAATGATTCTATAGGTCAGATCCTACACCGACAAGAAGAAAGAAAAGAATTACATCACAGGACTCGCTTCTTCTCGCACGTTTACAAGACCAGTCATGAAACATTTTTTCATATTACCCTATTTCTCCAAAAGCTTCCCTGCAAATTAAATTCTCCCACATTTCTTTTGGATCTTTCCGACGTCGTTGGATTTGAGTCCTTCACTCCACATCTTGATTTTTTAAGCAACTGCATTGTTGCAGTATCGATTTTTCCTGTCATAGGAACATGTCCAAATCGTTGAAGTCTTCTCATCGCTTTCTTAAACATGGCAGAATTTTCGTCCTTTACGGAAGCCATTTCATCTGAATTGAGGTAACCATAGTTATACAAATAACCCGTTGCCTAAAAAGAAAAAGACGCATATGGTTTAAGGTTTGCCATATTTTTCTGAAGAATCATTTATGAGGGACAAGTTTGCCTTTTTTCGTCGTAGAACGTTTAAGTTCAGATTATTGCAACTCGGCCGAATCTTCGTTATCCTCTATCCAACTTTAATATATTAGTTTTCAACAACAACAACAACAAAGGTTTTCGCGATTACTGTTATTGACCCAATAATAAATCTTTCATATTTTCAGACTACATGTATTATGAATATTTTGATATCAGTTTACCATCCATTCAATCTAACAAACACACATTAGTACATGTTCTCCGCAGTTTTGAGATCGGTGGTTTTCGTTTCTCGATGGTAAGACACGATTAAGCTCCTAATAGCTCAAATTACAAGAGGCAAAATAATCTCAAAAGTTCAACTATTGTATACTTGTACAATCCGTCTTACCCATTTCATCATTTTATCCTTTCTTCCACGACCTCGCTGTCGACGGAGAGGGCGGTTTAGGACACAGCTCACAAGAGCAAGGAGTACTACCAAGAATAAAAAGTTCTTCATCTCGAGCACAGATGAATCTGAGCAACTCGTCCGTACACAGCTTTGTCTACTTTTGATTGCATCGGTAAAGTAAGTTTGGACAGGTTTTATAGCAAACTAAGTGGTTGGGAATCGACGTTATGCGTGGGTTTCTGATACACACCTTTTCACGTAGTTTAGTCAAACCGCTCATATTGCCGGATTTCATGACGTTTCCTTTCCAAGTTCATGGACCGACGATCACGCGCCGACCTGCCAATATCGGGCAGCCAGGAGGGGGAAAGTTTCGTTACATTATGCAATTAAAAAAATGGAATGATTCCAGGACTGTCACCCCATCTTGAGTAATAGATCATATTGACATGTATTTTGCGCTACTTGAAGTAATAAAGTCGAAAACAACAGATCTTTTTTTTTTTAGCTATTTCGTTCTGAAAAAAGCGTATGACTTTCAGACATGTTTTTTCATTTTTATTTTTTTTCTCTTTTAGCTAGAGATGGTGTGCGTGTTAAGAGTAGTAACACGATTTAACAATGGCTGAAAATGTTGGCATGGCACAGAGGAAGTTTCTTTGTCCCCCCTTCCCCCACCCCCCACCACCGACGAGTTAAACTACAGATATTATGATTCTGCGGTGGAATGCTTTACAAACTACGACACAGAGAATTCGCGAATGTTTTGAGAATTCGCGAATGTTCTGGGCCATAAAAATGGCTTACCTTGTTCCATACGTGTGTTGTTTGCTCCTGGTGTCGTTATTTTAACGATTTCACTTGATTTAAGCGGTTTTTTTTTAATCCTGGTTTTCTACCACATAGAGAGAAGACTTCTCTTTTCTTTTAACTATCTCTGTGGATATCTTGTAGAAAATCCCATACAAATCCCTATAAATATGCAAATTGTGTTCCTTGTGTGGTTCTCAAAGAGAGCTTGGGTCGCCCGTGGCATGTGGGTCAATCGCTTTGCATTACAGACTTGAGGGATTAAATATCCCTTCCGGTTTTCATTAAGTCTGCGGTCGATTTGCTTTTCTGGAATAGATATTGCCAGAATATCTCAGTTCCTTCTGCTGTGTCACCGACACGTAGGCTGAGATTATTTCTAAAATAAAATAAACTACCTAGGCGTTCGGGCGGAAAAAAAAAAATTTTCTGCCTCAACCCGCAGAGTAGGTTCGAGTATGAATATGCACAAATATGGTGTCTGTTTGGTTGCCTATTTTGTTTGTTGTAATACCAAATTGACCATGATGACGCACTTGAGGTGCGTGAGAAGCAGTCGATATTCACACGTGAGAGACTCTTTGGGTCGGACTTAATATCCCTCTCGACTCAGTTGACAGCCGAAATAAAGTGAAGAAGGTATTAATCCACTCCTTCTAACGTCTTGAAGTTATCAGTCTTGCAGAGATATCAAGATTCTCATCTTATAAACAGGTACTGAGAAGTAACGGGGTTATCAACTTATCGATGTTATTTGGATATAACACCAATTGCTCTTCACTAATTTAAAAGGATTTAAGTGTAGTAAATACAAAATAAAACAGAACGAAGAGTTACTGATCCTTTAATATTGGGAATTGGAGTTAAACCATTAGTTGCATTACGTATGACAATAACGCCGTTTACTCTCAGTGATTTTTTTTATCTGAATAGGTGTTGCCTCTCAGAGATAGATTTTTACGATGAAAAAAATCGTGATTGACATTAATTCTATACATTGATTTAAAAGAAATTAGCTTATTATGTCAGTTCAAACCAGTTTTTCAGACGAATCAAAGAGAGAAAGAAGTCTACAAATACGCTTACCTGAAGAATCTGGTGACCTGTAAAGTGAGATTTTTGACCCGTAAATACAGGGAGCCCAGACAAGCGACGAGTCTGGTTGTTTATTCGAAATATAAAGGAATGTATGGGAGAATATTGAAGAGTCTTATTATCGTAAACTTATATCATGAAATGTCTGCGTTAAAGCTCAGAATAAATATAAACCTACCTCACTTGCTGTGTATTGTCGTTTCTGTGGCTCTAAATGGCGAATTTGAGCGATTTGGTGGGTTTTGCGTCGACTACTAACAGTCGAAATTTCATGATATAAGTTTACGATAACAAGACTCTTCAATATTCTCCCATACATTCCTTTATATTTCGAATAAACAACCAGACTCGTCGCTTGTCTGAGCTCTCTGTGCTGTAAAGTGAGATTTTTGTAACGACCCGCCACAGAAGTAAGTTGAAGTTGAAGTTTTCTGAATTAAACTACGAGGTAAAGACTTGATTTGCGTTTGTTCTGATTGCGAATTACAAAATGCATTTTTTTTTAGATCGAATGATTATTAAAACTTGGCTTTTGTGGAGGTTCCGAATAAGGAAACACTCAGAATTTGGCTTAGAACTTTTCATCACTATTTTTTAATTAATTTTCCTTTAATTTTCTATGATTTTTTCGGACCCTTATTATGTAACTCTACAGCTGACCTTTTTTTGAGATACAATTATAACCCTTGTCTTAGATGAAGTGTTATACCGACGACATGCTTAAAGTCGATTTAGCCACACAGAAATTATGGAGATCAAAAAGAAATAAATTTAAATAAATAAATAAATGAGCAAACGAGATGGATAGAAGTCAGTAATTGTATCTAACGGAAATTATGTTAGAGCGCCAGACTAACTCGATCTTTAAAAGGGAAATAAAACAATATTTGCAACTCTCGAGGTTACAGACATTATAACAACCCATTGTCTAATCACGCTAGTACGCTGATCACTTAGAACTTTTAAGTTCTAAGTGAAATTTAGTTCATTTAAAAATGAACTAAATTTAAATTTAAATTTTAAATTTAGTTCATTTAAAAATGAACTAAATTTATTAGAGACAAAGAAAACCAACAGGGCAATTACTTCCAAAAGGAGCTGCTGTGTTCCGTCGGAGGCCAAATGAAAGGAAGCTAAACCAACGAACTTTGAAAAGCCGCGGATGTTAGCCCTTTGTCGGAGTACATTGGTGTCTATGACGTAATCAACACTTCAGGTCATTTTTTTGGCAAATCTTAGTGCTGTCTCATGGTTTATCAGTTCTATATTTATAGAACTACAGTATTAACCAGAAAAACAATGAGAATCATTTTTTATCCTTTTAAAATAGCAACATCGATGCTACGACCAGTATAACTACACGTACTTGGGTGATTCTCAAATCTTCTTGATCAAGATCCTTTTTAATCCTCCACTTGAAAGCTGTGATTTGAATTTTGCTCCCTTTTTAAAAGCAAGCATTGAGTTAAAGTTGCGCAGTCTATTGTGTAAAAACGCATCGAATATCATGGACTCCCTTAACCGTGGGAGATCTGGGACTAGCCTGAGTCGCTGGTTTCTCCCTGCTTTTTCTCAACTTCATGGTCCGATTTTTCCCTAAGTCCCCTAGCCGCCACAGACTGTGAAAACAAGCTACAAATCATTCGCAAGGCTTACGTATATTATTGCATCTCCACTTAATGATTGGCCCCTTAAAAATCTACATATTCCTGCATAGTTGGGTTATTCGCAAGCTCGATCGCTTAGCAAGATGGAAAGGGCAAAGATCTACTCAGTTCAAAGGCAGAAGATGGGAGAGGGGAGGGGGAGAGGGGAGGGGGAGAAGGGAGGGGGAGAGGAAGGTGTGGAAACACTCAGCTTCCTTAGTATCAAGAGTTGTGGTATGTCTCAGTATATCGTCAAGGCTGCAATTTATCGATCAAATGAAGCGGATTCCAAGGATTCCCTATAGAGACAAAATAGGACCAAATAAATCCCTGGCAATTAGTGATGGTAATTTGACTGAGTGGAGTACAATTCAGGGAGTAATCGGGCCGGTAACTGCTTTCAAACTGGTTGAACGCGTAGGCGAGGCTAATTTGAAGTCACGACCACGTTTACCCCCCGACTTGCATGACGTAAAGTTCGATTACCAATAATCGTGTCAGTAACGAAATGAAGACACTCAGGAATGAAAACACTTAATGCGGGAGCACAGGTCCTTCATATTGATATTGAATAATAGTCACTGGACTTCATTATGTTTGGCTAAGTAGTTGAGTTTGATTGGCTGATGGCTCAAAGTTCTTCATCTTTATTGGCTGCTGCTTGTCTGATTACAAGTGCGTTTAATTGGACAGTCTGGACTTGAAACAGTCGTGTAAGCCACGAATAGGGGCTGTCAAGAGTAACTCATATTCGAGCATTTTGTTACGGACACGATTACAATAAAAAACGGCATACGAATATCAACCTTTTTTCAACTGACAGACTGAAAATATCAAAGAATAGAAAGAAATATGTAAAATGCGAGATAATGTTAAGCGATGACATTCACAGATCGCTTGGGGATTTGAATCCCAATGCTCCAACACTGGAGCTGCACTTCATCCACCTACGAGCTGTGTTCCTCAGGCCTCCGTCCAGGACAAGACTCCTCTTTCTTAGCTTAAGGTACTGACTCCCCAGGAACACATAGGATCTTCCGTTGAGCCACGTTACTGCAGTGTCAATATGATCAGGGAATTTCCAAGCGCTTCGGATCTTTCTGGGATACGGATTCCTTGAAGGCCCTCGGACTGTGCGTCGGATCCTTTCGTTGTAACGCCAATATTGTGTTCCTTTGAAGAAGTAGGTGACCTGGTTTTTTTCCCAAATGAAAACTGCGTTCATGTTTGCCAGACTCAAGGGAAGTCCGTATCTTGTTATGGTACCAGAAGATTTTAATATTCTTCTTGAGTCGTATTCCCAAAACCTGTAAAAATTCCAAAAATGTTGGCTCAAACTCGTGAGTGGGGTACGCGTTGGTCTAATGGTTTGCGCGGTGAACTCCACGAGGGCCGCGTTCGGACCGCGGCATTGTGCTATGCTCTTGAACAGGGCACTTTACTTTTATAAGGGCTCTCTTCACTCAGAAGTTTAAATGGGTAACAGCAATCTGTTAGGGAAAGCCATTGAAATATTTGGATGGGTGGGAGAGGGGGATAGATTGTGATAGACTAGTATCCAATCCAAGAGGAGGAAATGGGTGCTTCAAATCACTTCCTATCACGAAAAGAGGGATAGGCCGCGCGAAGCATTGTGGGTCGATAGGCGCCGAGGAACCTTATACTTATCTATATCACTATAACGAACAGACTCAACTTGAGTATGAAGATTAGTGGTAAAACTCCTGCACGTTTAAATTTGGGAAATTTAGCATTCAATTTGACAACAAGAAAGCGTCCAGTAACTAACTATTTCACTGTCATGCTTGGTTTGCATGGCTACTTTTTTACTTGAAAAACTGAGTAGCAGACAGACGACACTGATTGTTGCCATAATATCAATCGCGTTTTTAGAAACCATACTCAAGCCAAACGAAGACTTTTTAACTTTTAAGTATTTTTAACAAATGTGATGTATGTTCCGTGTAGTGTATATAACTTGTACTTAATGTATACAGAAATGTACATAGTCGTTCTTATTAAGTTTTCATTCTATCATAACTCGTTAATGCAGTAAGTTACTGCAAGAGAGTTGAATAAACTACTATTATTATTCTTATTATTATTATACCCAACGTTTGTTCTTAAAATATATTAAAAGCGCCATCTTACTCAGTTCCTTTAAAGAACACGATGTTTCCCCGTTTGTTGCGGTATGCGGCATCCACGGGGGTCTTCACCTTCTTCCAGAAAGATTTGACAGCGTATGGATCCCCCCTGCTCAGTCTCCTGTTCACGACCCAAAACCAATTTCCCACAAAGAAGTACGACTTCATCCGTCTGGGATCTAAAGAGACTGCGTCATAATGGACGGATCTATCGCAAAGATCTGGCGGGGTGGGACTAGGAGTAACGGGACGAGGGCGAAGAGTTACTCGCGGGCGCCGGGTAGTGGTGGCTTCGGTTGTGGTCCTCGAGGTTGGTGGTGTTGTTGGCTCTAAAATGTTTTTGAAAAATCAAAACGAATGTCTTCATAGAGAAAAATGTTGCTCGTCCTGTCACGAGTGTAGGAGTCAAAATCGCGAAACGACCACTAATGGCGAAGATCGCAAAACGGCTACTAGTGGCGAAAATCGCAATACGGCCACTAGTGGCCAAAATCGCGAAGCTTTGATCCTAATGGGACACCTGGTTCGTATTCTTGATCCAACCTAACGTTGGAAGAAATCACTTTTCAATCGGGTGTCGAAAGAAGTTTTGGTTAGCTTTGATTTCGCTTAGCTGCGCTCTGATTGGTCCAGAAAATTTGCGCCACCTTCTCAGACCAATAAAATCCAAAATGAAACTAATCACAACAAACATTTCCATTTCAATGCGCCTTAAACAGCTTCTTGGTCCGTTCTTTGAGACTTCACTGACTACCTGTGATAACTGACTTGTTCTCATAAGCCGTTGTGGTCAATTTGGAATTTTCTTTAACTACTCTCAACCGTTCATTAAAGGTCGCTTAAGATTATTCCTGGAAACGCACATTATTAAATAACATGCATGTTTCTTAACATGCTTTCTTACTTGGATACAAAGCTTGAATTCCTTGTATGTCATCATTGGTTAATTTAACATCTGCGACGAACCCTTTGTACCAAGGATACATGATGGATTCTTGCACATTGGAATGTTCCAGACCTAAACTGTGTCCAAACTCGTGAATCGCTACCCAGTCCAGGTTAATGCCGTCAGATGTCCCTGTGGTGAATCTTTCACTGTCATCAAAATGAGCGTCGCCGGATAATCCTGCGAGAAATGGAAGAGCGCTTTTGATTTTACCGAGCAAAGGGAAAATGTTTAAATTAAAATGATACTTTTGTATACCATTGATAATAAAGAGAAAATTTAAATGAAACCATAGATTTAATGGTGGACTGCTCAGTTCGCTAATGAGCTTACTTACTTTCTCAAAATTGAAACAACAATCCATTCCTATTCATTTCACTTCACTGCAATTAGAATTTTACTTTTCACTTGGTACGAGTTAGCTCACCTAGCCGAGGATGGCGATTTGCATTTAATTCTTAGGCAAGGCACTCGGTCGCTCTCAAAATCATATCCGAGAGCCAGCGGTATAAAATGGATACGGGTAAAGAATATAAAGGACAGCGAAAGGATCAATCAACATACCAATAAGTGGAGAGAGTAGATACACACCGACAAGTCAAGCCCTCCTTTCTGGTGAAGTCATTTTAACCCAAACTTTTCTTTTGTGGGAAGCCCAGATTAGCCGGAAATTAAACTGGCATTTTACTTGCATTCTGTTTCAATGATTGAAGGTCTCCGGTTCCAAATGCAAGTTAATAAGAAAAACACATCATTGGTGTCTGAGGGAAGAAATACCCAATGTTAGCATCCTTATCTTTTTTGACGCAACGACCCACCTTCGTTAGTATGGGGGTAGAACGCATGAGCTAGTGTCCCCCCTGGTCCATCAAATGGATAGCCGTCTTTGTGATCGCCAATAACAAAGCTGATGGGGATATCTGCATCACCACTGTACACCTGACGTATACGTAAATCTGAAACTGCTTCCCACTTTCTCAGAGCCTCTCGAAAGATTTGCTGCTGTTTATTCCGAGGTTGGATGTCACTGGTGTAGCTCACGATCTTATAAGTTAGATCCTGGGGAACAAACAAAGAATAAGTGTGTCAGTACTTTCTAACATTTAAACTATACAAACGTCTTGATTTCGCAGTTGTTAAATGGTCTCGATGGGGTAACCGTTAGCCATAAAACGGCCAAAAAAAAATTAATCATCAGGCGAAAAATAAAAAAAAATTTTTATCAACCGTTAGTCATAAAAAAAAGTTAACCATGAAAAACAAAATTCTGGCGGCAACAGTGGTGGATACATGTGAAACCTTTCGCCGTAATGATAACTTGTCCAAACTTTCAACCGTTGTTCGTAAAAGCCGTCATCCCATTCAAACCTTATTGTTATGCATATGGTAGTCATTGTAATTTTCGACCAACATTAAAGAGTGAAGGTGTGATGTTTTTTTTTGTTTCGCCAAGAGAGAGAAAAAGTTATGGTGTTTCTCGGCCCAAATTCCCGTTCTGGTGTTTTTGGCCATAACCTTTCTTTTTTACTTTACCGTTATCGCTTATAACTTGGAAGCATCTATTAAACCTTTTACTCCCAAGATCTCATTAGCAATTCTCCTCACTGTCTGCCCTACAGTTCTTATGATGTTAGTTTGGAGAATTTAGTGTTGGATAAAGTGACAATTGCCTGTTTTTTTTTTCTTGATTCTCTTCACCTGTCTGCTTGATATTGTATTGATATTGTACATGTAAGGAGAAATTCCCCACCTCTCCCCCCTGCCCCACTCCCCGCCCCCCACTTCCACCGCCGGGGTCACTAACCGAATCATCTTTACAAATGAATTGTTGAGACCATTTTTTCAGACTCATGGTATTTGCTCAGCTTTTGTTCTGTCTTTAAGTGTTATCTCCCTCTGCAAGTACAAAAGACCTACCCTCTTCTTCCAATAAGTTCCCTGTAGCCTGAACTCTCCAATCCCTCTCGAGGAAAGAGGAGCTGGATCTCTCATTCCGCACCTTGATGTGCTGATTAACTCGAGTGTTTTCCTGTCAAGAATTCCCGTCACAGGAATACCACCAAACCACTGAAGTCTTCTGATCGCCTTTTTAAACGCAGGTGAATTTTGGTCACCAGCGCCAGCTGTGTCCGCTGGGTTTGAAATGTTGACGTAGCCAAACTGAACTAGAAATTTGGATGTCTGAAAATGAAAAAGTTTTAAACGTCAATTTAACCTGTTTCCCATGAATCATATTCCGTTTTCTTCACCCTTGCCATTTATCTGGTGGGAAAAAGGCTACAACATAGGCATACTCTCGCCACGCGCGTGACACTCGAGATACGCGAGATTAAGAGATCGATTACGCCTATATCGCACGCGTGTTGTTTGCAGTCGCGCAGTGACTTCGGGAAAATGATACATTCTAATGGAAATTTGGGAAAATGCTAAGTGGAAGAGTAACAGTAAATCTTTGGATTCATGATGCGTTTTTGGGAATAAGGATTGTCACAGCTACCATCTGTTGATTCCGTCAACTCAAAACAATATTAAAGACACATGTAGTGGATAGCATGAAGTTGTAGGAAATCCGCCCAGCTGTGGTACTTCTATGGTCTGATCTGTCGATTCGGCGCCATTTTCGTTCAAATGGGGAACTGTGTTACTTAAAAAAACTTTCCGTTCGATTTCCGTGGTATGTTGTATAAGAGCTGTATTTAGATGTAATACATGTAAATTCCATCGACAGTTTTTAAATGAAACGTAATTTGAGTGGAAGCCTGACTGATTACGATTGATTTCAACTCTCTTTCATCACCCAGTTGACGAGTTAAACGTCAGCAAACGAGTGTTCATATTTCCTAATGAACCCAAACAGTTGCCAGATCGCGCGTTCGTTATACGTACTTTCTGAGACCTGATCACGATTTTGCCCTAACTGAAACGTTGTGATAAAGAAATTATCTTAAATCAAGCCGAAATCATCGGAAAAATTCTCTTTTCCCTTCAGGAAAGAGAGAAAAAACGAGAAATTCCTTTCTAATAGTCATCAGTGCGTGAATGTTGCGTTCATGTTAAATTATGCGAGTTCTGCAGTAATGTCTTGACTGACGCAGGCCTGCCGACAGATATGGAAATGAACACCAAACTTTGGTTATCAAATCATCATCCTCTGAGAGGAAAAAAAAAACACCTTTTTACATCTAACGTAAAGTCTGGAGGTCCGTAGCAGATGTGATGTAATTGATACCACATATGTAAATATAAACGATACACTGGATTATAAATTCATTATCATTCTATGCCGAGGCGCACCTTTAACTGGCATCTTCCTCGGTCTAAAATGACAGAATAAGCTTCTACTGGCACTGAATACTCACCTCCTTATGGTATGGGCTTTTATTAGATCGTTTCCAATCAATTGAGGTAAACCCTTAAGTGTTTGACAAGCCAACCAGCTCAACAGCTAATATATCAAATGATGATAAATTCAAAATCGGGGGGGGGGGTTAGGAGACAGACTCCCAGGCGGAGATTCACGAATGTGGAGTCAGCTTAAAACGAAAACGAATGAAAGCTGATAAATAAAAGGGGTTATTAAGACATTTCAAATGGACATGCAAATTTCTTACAATGTTAGGTCCAAATTTGGAGATCTGATCGTGCACCTACCCACCCACGAAGTTCCTAATTCTCCCCCACCTTGAAATCTCGTGTTGTCCCATTCGTTAGCTATTTTTCTCATCTTAAAACATTCTCCGTTAAACACAACAATCAAGACAAAGAATAGGCACTGAATTTGTTCAATAGATAATCTCGAGTTCTTTGTGCAGATAAAATGCTTGTTCTTTCTTACCTTCTTCAAGTCCTTCCTGCTCACGATAGGAACACTGTATACAAAGCTCAGAAAGCAAGCTATTAACATCAACAACTGCTTAGCACGTTGACTTCGCATGTTTGGGTGGGCCTCACAAGATATGTTGAAGTTTAAAGATGTATGAGTCTGCTGATATTGTTCGAAACAGCAAATTATACTATAAACTACGTCTGTTTTTCGACATACGCCAGCGTTGACGCAAATGAACTATTGGCAGCCCGTCGAGTATGGATCTATTTCTGGGTATGGCCCTTTCATCACCTGACAGAAACTTTGTTGTGATTAGAAACATGATGAAAATTAATAAGAAGGTGCTGATCAAGTCAGTGGTCTCCGTGGTGTAACGCTTTTATAAAGCGTCACAAAGCGTTACCACCATAAGGAACTTCCTCTTGCTCAGTCGTGCCGTAAATCTACTCTCCTAAGTGAAAGTAAAATAACTGATTACGAGTATTGTACAGAAGTATATTATCTTGATTATCAAATACAGCTGAATCAGGGGAATGAGAGTGATCATTTGACCCATGAATACTTTGCAGTGTGGATAACCTTTTAAACACTACATAGACAAGCTGGGGCGATACCCAGAGGGAAATTTCGTATTTTGGCCTTCGTGGATATATGATAGCAAACAGGAAAGGATTTCCATAGGCTTGAGACTTGGAAAGCTGATCTACCCAGCCCCTTGAACGAAATCTTTCTGGCCTAAAAAGGTGTAACATGCAGGCGAAAAAATATGTAGCCTTGGGTCATACGTGACTTGTCCCAAGCCTCTCTCCTTTCTACGAGCAGCGCGTGAACGTTTTTATTCGCTCGAGTTACGGGTAGTTTCGTGTGCGCTTAACAGTTTCATCTAACTGGAGAGGCAATGCGCTGAAGGGGATCATGTTCGGGGACTTTTTTACATCTTGCAAACCAAGTTTCAAGGGAGTTTGAGACGATTGTCCTTTTTGTCAGAAGCTGTGACAGGGAAAGCCTCTCTAAGCCTTGAGGGAGAATAGTACCAAATACTCTCACAGTCCCCTCTCCCTTAGATCCGCCTTTATCTCATCAATTCGCTTTGCTTTTCTGGTCGAGATTCAAGGCGCCTGGCAAGTTTTTTTGATCTGCTGTTGCATTTTTTCACAAACCAACAACGCAAGTAAAAATTGAAATATGAAAAACCAAAATAATTTATTTGAGATACGTTCCTATTGAAATATTTTACACAAGTAAGACAAATAATACAAAATAAATACATATTCCTTCGATTTGATATCTTACTGAATAAAGTATTGCTAATTTTTTTTTAGTAAAAATTGTGACTAAGATTTTGATCTTTACCAAGAGTTCTGTTTTCTATTCATGGAATGACAGTTTATTCCTATGTCACTGTCCTCCAAGAAAAAAAAATAATAATAAAACTTAAAAATAACATTCAAATTGAGCCACTTTTATATTTGAAGGAATTCTCTGAATAACGTTTTATTGACATTATAGTATTACAAAGTGTTTTTCCTGATCCAATATTCATTAGTGTCGTCCTTCTTGAGGGAGTGGTCAGGTCAACTTAAGGATCCTCTTCAATGGATCCTACACTCAAGCCTCCTACGTTCGTATTACACTTCATCCACTTTTCAGCGATATTTTGTGGGTATTTAGCTTCAACATTCCATTTATTTAGCCGCCAATATTGTTCTCCTTTAAAGACGTAGCTTCTGCTATTTCCCGGCCAAGTAACTGCTGCGTCAATGTCAATAGGGAAATTGGTACCCCAGGCCGGTCGGATGTTTCGTGGATATCCTCTGTCGAACTTGTTTCTAGCTACGTTGAATCTCCAGTATTGTGAGCCTTTGAAGACGTATGTCTTTCCGTTCTGTATCAAAACAAACATTGCGTCCGGGTTTACGGGTTCACGAGAATTAAAGTATTGGTTAACATTGCCAGTAGACTGCAGCTGTCTTTTCTTGTTGTACTTCCAAAATCTATGAGAGAACAAACAAAACATAAATTATCATGGTAGGAGAAGGTGAAAAATTCACGCCAGATCATCATAGTTGAAACTACGTCTATTGGCCGAATGTCGTCTGAAGGGAGTGGCCCAGACAATGACCAAATCAATTTTCTGCATCGATGATTTATTGAAGGAGTTTCCTTTACTTCTTCAATCCCATTATCTGACCGCTAATCCTCAAAACTTTTCTTTAGTGTCACTGGTCTTGCCCTCTATGCTGATTATAGTTATGATGAAGTTCTGATAAATCTTGTCAGTGTCTTGTGTGTTAACGCAATAGAAACTTCACCATCGCAAACATGATAAAATCATTAGACATAACTCACTTGTTTCCTTTAAAGAAAACGAGGTGTTCGGATGTTTTTTCGCGATGAACAGCGTCCACTGGGGTTTGCACTTCAGGCCAGACGGCTCTTACTTTCTGAGCTTTGGTTGGCTTAACCAGACGACTTCCTGTATGTGTCCAGAAATAGTCTCCACTGAAAAAATGCGTCAATTTAGCGCCTCGGGCGTCATGTTCGGCGACAACAGCATCATACTTTGTTACCGAGCACACATCGGGCTCTGATGTGTCTGGATCTGTTGGGGTTGGGGATGGAGTTGGTGATGGGGTTGGTGATGGGGTTGGTGATGGGGTTGGTGATGGGGTTGGTTTGGTGGAGGGATGAGGTTGAGTTTCTTTGTTTGTGGGCTTGACAGTGGTTGAAGGCTTAGGTTTGGGCTTGGGCGGTCCTATCGAGACAGAGAAAGTAAATGAGTGGTTAATTATTTTAGCCCGGACTGCTACAAAGTGCACTCAACTTTCCATTATAATGATAGGGATTCATAGTTTTTGATTGATGGCGAAAATATCTTATACACGAAAGCTGAGAGCGTAAAACGTAAAGTTTGAGCCATTTGCAATCGAGAATCCTCATAGACTGTCTAGCTGTATCCCCTTTCTTGAAGTTCCTTTTTTTTTTCACAACATCCGTTTTAGAAATAATTTTTTTTTTAACGATTACATTTTTCTTCTACCACACTTCTTCTTTTTCTTCTCCGTGCAGAATAACTCCATTGAATGCAAACAAGACAAGGGTCGCTGCCTGAATTTATGCGTCAAAAATGAAAACTTCAGGAGGTAATAAAATCATACGAAAATACTTACTTCCGTAAATCTGCTGAATTCCCAGGATATCATCCCGAGTAAGCTCGATGTTTGGGAAATAACCCTTGTACCACGGGTACATAACGGCTTCACGCACATTGGAATGCTCCAAACCCAAACTGTGTCCAAACTCGTGAAGCGCCACCCAGTCCAAGTTGATGCCGTCTGGTGTCCCTGTGGTGTACCTCTCATCGTCATCAAAATGAGCGTCACCAGACAAGCCTAAAAAAGGAGCAGTGTTTTTTAGTCATATCAGATGATAATTATAGAGATAACAAAAATAGTAAGAGTAATAATGATGGCATTGGTATTGGTCACGATGATGAAGGATAATAAATAATGGTATAAGACCGAGTGGAGTCCAATTCGGTCTGTAATTATAGGAGTGATTAACAAAATTGGAAGACCGCGAAGCGAGTCCGATTTAACTGCAAGTTATTGTTTTTGTTGGCGTAGAAACCAACCTTTATTGTTGTGTGGATAAAAAGCGTGAGCCAGCGTTCCTCCTTGACCGTCAAATGGGTAAGGGTCGTTATGGTAACGTCTAACAAAGCTAATCAAAATGTCGACGTCATCATCAGGAACTGCAGGGTCCGCTTCAGTAATGGTCAGTGTGCTCACTTCGTCCCATTTGTTGATCATTCTTCGAATAATATCTCTTTGGGCATATTGGGAAAGATCTAGTGTAGACGCTTTAAAGCGGTACGTCAAATGCTGTTATAGAATAAGAAAATACTGGGTCACTTTTGGTTTATAAATGCTTTTCTTTGATTTAGTATTAAAACCTAAGTGATCAAAAACGGCCAATAAGATCAAAAGCGCGGGAAAACGCGGTGAGCAAGTCACGATTGGTTTCAGTTTTGTATCTGATTGGATAGGAAAGTGGAGCAACTTTTCTTGACCAATCATAAAGCGTAAAGCAAAACCAAAGCAATCTTAGGTTCAGTGCTTTCGATCGTCAATCTGAAATTGCTCTTGCTGTAACAATTTATTCTCAGGAATGACCATAAAAGAAATATCTGATAATCACTTCGGAAAATTGACCTCCATTGTTCTGAAATATTGACAAATGACCCTGAACAACCAAATATTCGCCTCCAACAACCATTCGCTCCGACGAAGGGCTAACGCTCGAAACGTCAGCTTTTGTAATCGTTACGGTGGCCAATTTACCACTTCAACTTTGTTGATATATCCCAACAACCAAATAGTCACCTAGGTCTCATTTCTTTCTTTTTTAATTTTTTTTTCACACTTCCTCAAATGAAGTAAACCTCTTGCGAATATATAGCCGTCACTGCTTCGCTAAGGTGAGTAAAGTGTTACTTTGAGCTCTTACTGACTTTACTAACAATCTCGCCAAAAATAACAATCTCGGAAATATCCAATATGTGAGATTAAAAGAAAAGGATCCATAACATTTCTGATATAAATCAACTACACACCTTCTTCCTCCATCTGGTACCTTGAAGATAGTACCTTCCGATTTTGGGTTGACCGAAGGAATCATTAGTTTCGTTCAGCTTTCTATAGGGATCCAAGCTGCCACATCTACGTGTATTCATTAGTGCTAACGTTTCTTTGTTGAGTTGTCCGGTGACAGGAAGGTCACCCATTCTTTGAACATCGCGCACTGCTTTAGAGAGTGCACCAGCATACGCTGAAGAATCGTTTTTTCGTGTCGTTGTGTTCAGATACTCATATCGCTTCAGAAATTGAACAGCCTGCAAATTACAAGAGAAAACAGAGTTTGATAAACCTTTGAACCGCAGTTTTCCTGTTTGGATCAATTCATCAATCATCACATACTATTAAGGTCATGCATGGTTTACCTCATAACGATAGCAAAACGTTCGTTTAAGAGGAGATAACATTATGTCACAATTTGGATATGGATGAAAAGCTCACTGGAAAACCCCCTTCATCAAAGAAATGTAGTGAAAGGAAAAGTAAACGAAACCGCATTAAGAAAGTAAATGAAACCGCATCAAGAAACATTCAATGCAACGGAAAAGTGTTGAAGAAGCGTGGATTGAGGAGGGGGGTAGGGTTGGGGGAGTAATGTCATATTTCAAATTCAGAGAATCGATGTGTCCCACAGTTCTTCTCTTCAATCTCCTAAACCTTAACAAATTTTCAGGCTTATAAATAACATGAAAAGTCTTTGGTTTTAAGCATAATGATATGGTGTCGTCTAACTACCGGTTGAGGAAACAGCGAAACCTTTTGAGAAACTTGTGTAGCAATAGTTCTACGAAATGAGTACACCGATTTAGTTTTGTCTTCCAAAGAACAACTGTAGAGATATTGTGTGATATAATGTCCCCTCAAGAGATTTGAAAATGGCAAAGGTAGTTCACTAAGGGAATGTAACGCCATATCAACTGGGCTATGCCATCCCAGTTCTATTTTCGTACAGAGGTCGCGAAGTTGAGGTCAGAAGCACGTGAGCGGTAGCAGTACAAAAATTCAGAAGTACACCATAGTTAAATTCAATTTCACTCACCAATTTATTCTCCTCTGGGCTCCCGTTGAGCACGTTTACAACCGAAGCAGGTATGGGTGCGCCAAAGGCGTAGTTAAAAAGCGAAGCAAAAGCTGCTACGGCAGCGATTGTAACCAGGAGACCCTTCATTGCACAATGTTGGAATTATTCTTCGTTTTCTTTGAGATGTTTGCTTCAACGTAACATTCAATCGTTGTGCAGTCAATGTGATCCATCTACTGTGAGAAGCTGTTTATAAAACGAAGATCCTCGGCCATCCTACGCAATATTTAATTCGCTTGACGTGTGATGATGCTTGACGCATTTTCCGCCGGGGTGTGGGATGAGTCAGCGATCGAACACGCCTCAGCAGACTGTTGACAGATGTGCAAGACGAATACCCCAGAGTACAAGTTATGTAAAGGAAATTGAGCTCAAACGTGATTTTCCCGTTGAACAAGCGTTACATTTTTGCGCTTTATTGTGAGCAAAGACGATCACGTGAAGAATCTTCTCTTTTGCTTTTAGATCTGCAGTTCTAAAATCTAAGCAATTATAATTTTCGACGCAATTATAGAGAGCATTCAGAATTTTCATGAGAAGATCAGCAGCCTAATTCTTGAAGTTTGTTTCCGTAAGCAATCCTACGGGCGGTTTCCTGTTGTTGCGGTTATCGCCTGCACACACCCTTTTTGTTTCGCAGCTACAACGACAGAACTGTTGAAATAGAGGTATTTCAAAGGTCACTGAAAAACAATTTTCAACAAAGCTGTTAAAAAGATTTAAACCCGTCAAAAAAAAAAAAAAAACCTTTTTTGAGCCGTGATGTTTATATTAAGCTGAGGAGATGCGTTTAAGTTATGGAGAACTTTTAAGTAGGATAATCCATGACTACCGGACATGACTTTGTTTTAATACGAAGGGCCATTCAAGGGCGAACTGCGGTTATTTTTTAATCAAATTTCGGTCCATTATCTCATTTCTTAAAATCGTCCTGAACATTAAACGCGCTCCCATGATTTCGTGCTTTAATATTTCCATGGAAACCAAGAAAGTTATTCCCGAAACACAATGGACACGGCTTATCTTGAGAAGGAAATCACAGAGAGTTTGTTGCCCAACGAGGCACATGCATGGCTACGAAATCTTTAAGAGACTCACGTACGTGATAATCATCACAAATCTCGAACGTCCAAAGATATAGTTTCTGCTTGTTATTTTCTTTTTCCTGGTATAATTACGAGTCCGGAAAGAGCCCTGTGTAGCTCCAGACAATGTTGTCGCTTTCTTGTTATCATTGGACACTTTTCGAAACCCCTTGAATTTAAGAAACACACAGACAAACAGGCAACTGGCTTAAACTATAAACCTGTGAACGTTCAAAGGAAAAAAATTACGAAGTTTTGGCTTTATATAGTAGAAACTTGTCAAATACTTGTTGAAGACAAAGTATAACGGGAATCCTTTGGTGATAGAGGGCCAGACTTCCCTTCTGGTTCAAGTCCTTGCGACTTAAAGGAAATCAAGTTAACCACGACTACATAATTTGAGAATAAGAACACACTAAACAACGTAAGCACATCCCTTGTTCGACCTGATTCCTTTGGTGGTTTTGATATTCGAAGCTTCGCATTTATAATTTAAATTTTCTGAGACCCGGGTTAACTATATATTTAATGTTTTGCCGGATGAAGTATAAAAGAGGCTGGGGTTTTTAACATGTTTAATAACTTCTCTTAATCTAGTCCCTAAAATATCTACTTTTTTTTAAAATTCACCGTGAAATCATTTTTCCTTTGAGTGTAAAGTTTCCTATCTACACATGACCTTTAATGGTGTTCTCAAGTAACCGCGACAAACCTTGGCGCCGACCTTTCATGTTTGTAGAGCAAACCGCGCTTGTTCTTCTAGAAACTCATGACCAAACAAAATAGTTCTTTTCATCAGAGATTTGTGTCATAAAGAGGGATACCTTTCTAAGTATCTCCTGAGATTTGTTATCTCGCTTTTGCGTAATTGGCCATAACCGTTTTAGTGACCTACTCGATTTTCCGGTGAGCTTTTTTTTAATTAAAAACTTTAGAGGCATGGGTTTCCTTTAGTACCATCACGCACGAAGAAAGTCGTTCTATTTTGGTAAAAAAAAAAAAATTATCTCTGATTTTCTCTTATAGGCTGAGAGTGCATTCTTAAAGCATTTAATAAGTTAAACTCTCCCACACGGCAGGTTTTATGTAGGTTTTTCCTTCAAAGACAAGAAAAACTAATATAAATGGTGAAAAAAGTCACTCACTTTGAATTGTGATAAGGACTTAGGACAAAGGTTAGACGGCTCAGAAAGTTATAAAGTTTGAAGTGTACTTTCAGGGATATAAATGGCTATCCAACGCATAAGTGTTGTTAGAACATACAACAACTACCCATCCACTCTTCGAGCACCCTGGTCAGAGTTACTGTTCCCTTAATGAATTTGGACATGCGAACCTTGAGGGTATGCTCATTTGCTTCACAAAAACTTTAATTCGTTGCGACTTGACAGAGAGAGAACGAGCTTAGATGTTTTTACAAAATATCTCTGTTAGAACAGGAAACCTGAAAGCGGAAACGAAAACATAGAATAAATTCATCATATAAAAAATCACGTCTCCCCGTCTATCATAATTTTTCAAGCGCTTCGTCCGAAAGTACGATTCGATTTGAACCTCTAACTAAAAAAAAAAAAACTCAAAAGCGCTTTGAAAAATTAAAAAAAAAAAAAAATGTTTCTCTCAAAACGTGACTATTACTACAGTGACTCAACTCAATGATTCAACTCATTGGGTAATAATATTCAAACCTGATTAGCAACGGGATATGCTTCACTGGAACCCACCGGAGTTTTTGTCTTTTCAGGAATGTTTGTCACGTACTTGATGATGTTCTTGGACTTGTTGAGAGCTTCCTCGATCCTCCAAGATTAAATTATTTTCACCCCTCATTCAACAGAGAAAATTAAATCTGAAATAAAAATTCCTTCTTGAAAGAAGAACAAGAACTAGCTTAAATGAGATATTATAAGATAAATGCAGGTCACTGCAGGTTTCCCGTGAAATAATCTAGGACCCGGGTAAAGTGTTCATGGTATACTAAAACAGCTGTGTGCTGTTACTGCTCTCCGTTGTACTAAATTGCTGTTCCAAGCGTCTTAAAACTCATTTTCACGCTCTGAATTTACTGTTTGATCATTAAAAAATTCATCCCTAAACGGTCACCAAAATAATTGCAGGACTCGAAAATGTCTGTATGTGACAAATGACGTACTAAGACTTTGAAATGAATGAGTTCCGCATTTTCCTATTTCTTGTTTGCTACATTTTGACCCTTCAAAGTTTAAAAGACTTATTACCCACTGGCGAATTGCGATATGCTTCGTTTTAGACATAAACAGAACGTGTTTCAGTAAATCAGCGTTTAGAGCGTTTCCTTGGAACGAAGGGAGGATTCCAAGAGAAATTTCGAGCAAAAACAGGCGTACGGAAACAGACGTATCACAGACCTAACATGGCATATGACGACAAGATGTGTAATTAGCGCACGTACGTAAGTATCTAATATCTCCGATCTCAAGGTTTCGAGTGCCTCTTGATTAAAAACATAATTTTCCTTTGTCTGGCTCAATTATATCTTTCCGAATAATACTGTCGTCTGCCTGTTTTGATTGTATTTTTTCCGGAACCAACCGTCTCATTTAACTTAGTTTTCTGTACCCATACTTAAGGATTAGTTTAAGATAGTAACTTTCAATAGGAAACAACACTGTGATAAAACTGAACTCCAAGATCTCGTTCATGGTTTCTTTCTGCAGTTGTGTCGTTTGTGTTCTAGTTCCACATCTTTTAAGACGCTATTGACTTGTTTTATAGACGTGAGTGCGCGAATGAATATAGACCGGCCACATCCGGTTTAAGGGCGCTGAATGTTGTCTCACTCATGATGAAACGAATCTGCGAGCACAAAAATTATATATTATTAAACTTGCTCTGTCACGTCGCACGGTAAATACGATACTAAAAGAGACTTCTGTTGTTGAATTGTCATGAACACAATCATTGAGTTCATGGGCTTTCACGTCAAATGTGCCGAAATCAATGATAAGAGTTTTAAAGGGGAAAGCCGTAAAATTAAGGAAACCTCATTAGGAGAACAGGCGATTACTACATTTCTTTAAACCATCTAGGGGCTATGAAAGTTGTTAGTTCATCTCTGTTCCAGTCCTTTGCTCATAAATTGATCTCTTAAGAAGGGTTCGATTAATCGATAAAAACCATCTGGATGAACGGTTCGGGCTGGAAATGTCTCGTGCGAGGCTAAGATCCTTTTTCGGCCTAAGGGCGGATGAATAACGAACCCAGCAGGACCCCTTAAGCGATGATGCGATAACATCAGTTGTTGGCGAAACGTGATTATTTTCAACAGTCATATATGCATGTCGTTTGGGTCGTCAAGTACACGCTTAACTACTCTACTTAACTTGGACTTCTACAGGAGTCATGAATACCAATAAAATGACGTGTGATATTAAAGCAAAAAAGAAAAAGAAAAAAAGAGGATTGCGTAATTATGGCATGAGACATTTTCGTTTGACCCCTATTCTTTAGGAGTCAGCGGTACAAGGCAAAAAACTTGACGAGCAGTGAAGGGTATCATCCAGCCTTGGTGCCAAAAGATGCCTCTCCATTTCTAGAATGTTAAGACCTGAGATTTGGGTACTATACTCGAATTGCATGGCACTATGACACAAGTAAAGTTACCTAACCAAGATTGTAGTCACGCACTGGCTGAACACGTATTATTTCTGTTTGTTTTCATTTCTCTTAACCCTTCTCCGGGAAATTAGATGTATCAAAAGAAAACATCGTAAATCGTGGAGCATACCGTGATATGGCTGAGAAGGTAAAAAAAAAAAACGCTGAGATGATCCACTGTCGCAGAGATACTAGATCAGTGTAGCCTTCGCTAGTACATCTACATTAAAAGAACTACCATTCGCTCTGACGAAGGGCCCCGGAGGGAGGGGGGCTACTCCCTTATAAGGGCTTAAAGGGGACGTGCGGTCAGCCAGGGTATGTTTTTCGAGATTTTTGTCTTAAACAGGGTATCGAATTTATCATTTTTTGTCTTAATCAGGGTATCGATTTATCAGTTTTTATCTTAAACAGGATATCTTTTCTTGGAAAATAAACAGCAAAATTTTTACAAGCTCTAATTTTAATTAATATTGAATTCCGTTGATTTTGGCATTGATACCAGGCACATTAAATGTCTTAAACAGGGTATCAAAAATCGGAATTCTGTCTTAAACAGGGTAGGAAAATCAGCGATATTTGTCTTAAACAGGGTCAGGGAATGAGGGGCCGCGCCGCACCTCCCCACCCAGGAATATATCAAGTATCCTCCCCGGGCAAAGGGCTAACGCTCGAAACTCTTTACGGTGGCCAATTTACAAGTTTAACTTAATTGATATTACCAAATTACATTATAATCAGTCCTGTTTCATCAATCAGTGTTTCAAAAATCTTTGCTATAGGAATCAGTTAGTTTTGTCTGCCAAAATTTCACATTCACAGTAAATCTTAGGGTGGCGCGGTGACTCTTGCCTAAGGGGAAACTTTGAACACCATGTCCTCAAAACAGCTCATCTTCTTACGGGGTCTAAGTACTTACTACTCCTACAAAAATGAGATCAAAATTACTGAGGCATGCGGAATAATTCAAGTGTTCGTAAATATCTCTTCCAATTTCCTTTTTGAGTCACACAAAATTTAACCGGAAGTCGAGAATTTGTTAAGAAAATCCTTGAAATACCGTTACGGGGTTATCACTACCATCTCGTTTCTTATCAACGGCGTTACTTTCATCTTCGCTTTAGGCGGCAAACATATGATGTCTCTGTCTTTAAAATTAATTGTTTTATGAATTATGGTCATTTAGAAGAGCACTCAGTACGAATTTCAAATAAGGAAGAAACAAAAAAAAAACACAAGAATTACAACATTGGCACTTGTAATTGTGGGCTATATTTGGCTTTTTTTCATTTCGTGCCAATATAAACATCTTTTTTTTTTTTTTTTCACCTTGTCCGTCATTAGGCTACTCGACCGGGCGTGATGAGTGCCTCAGCGCGTTCTTCCCTCTTACGTGGACATTATCGTAAGGCACGAGTGACGTGATGGGTGAAGCCGGCTTTTTAAATTCAAATTATATGCTTGTTTATTGAGTGGGAGGGCTGAAAGAGGAGATATTTGGCTCGAGGTCAAGACGTACGGACCGAGCACAATTTTTCCCTTTTTTCTCAAGTACAAGAAACTCAGTAATTCTCAAAGTAGTGCGACCCATTTTATTATTTGTTTTATTTTAAGTTGAACTCCAAAATCGCGATTTAAGTTCTTAGAAAATGCAAAAGAGCCGTGTGAGTGCAGGGCCGGATGGCTTTTTAGGACAGGTGCACATCAACCCCTCTAGTCTTTCACTTTAGTTTCGGAGTATATTTGTGATTCACGATTGTGCGCATGGGTGGATTGAATGAATAACGAGGAATTAATATCGCGGGCGCATGGGTTGCGAATGAGTTTGCGTCAGTTTTCTGCTGAGGCCAATTTATTTGAGACGACGTCCACACGCACTGGGTGAAAGTCTATCAGGTTCTTTTCATCTCAATTTTGACCTCAAACAGAGTAAAAATCAACAAGAACTTAGAATTGAAAACCACTAAGGCTGAAATGCGAGGAATCGTTTACAGGGTTGGAATACTAGTTTTGATCTTGGCACTACGTCGCACGCATAGCGCTCCTATGAAGCAAATGCGTCAAACGGTAAGACAATACTTAACTCTGTCTAAGGCCGGACTTTCGTTTTTCCCACTCTTATAAAAACTGCGTTAAACTCATTACAGATAAAGAGGGGAAACGTCATGGGATCACTCTAAACAGCTCAAAATTTTATGACTTATGTATGCCTGGGATATTTCAGTCTATAAACTGATATTTTTTCAACGTAATCGATATCTGCTCTCTTGTAAGTGTGTTTGTAATAGCCCTACTTTATTTTTCTGTCGTGTAGAAAAATATAAAGGTGCCTAACGAGTTTTGCTCTGTTAACATTTCATTATTTACTTTATAAATGAGTTAAAATTAGGGAGACTTATTAACTTGCAGGAATTCGTCAATACGAAGAGATATAATCCACTGGCTCCCAACTTATTTTTCAATAGGGAATCGATTAAAAACAAGTCTTAATTAAAAAATAGCGTGGATGTTTTTCTCGGTGGGCACACGGTTGTCAAAATACAGATCACTCATTAATTTCACTGAAATGATCATGGACAGCGGAAATCTCCTGATATAAAAACAACTGTGATCATCAACTGCGGGATTTTTTTTTTAACTGATCTTTGCGGTTGTTTTTATCTCTGTGGTAGTTATTGCATTAACTATCTAATTCACCAGTGAAGAACTACTAAGTTGATTTCGTAGAGATTAAGAAAGCAGATGGTCGGGCTGTTCATATTATAAGCAGACTCGTCCTTTCTTGAAAGAGTGTCGAAAACGTGCGAAAACTGTACTCACGATTTATTCGTTTGATTCAATTTTGCTATTACACTTCAGTTAACTTCCACTCACAACTGTCACGAAAAAACACACCACGTCTCATTGTAAGCACGTGGAACAGCGCCATATATGGGGCGATAAAACACGTGCTGCATACATGCTGTTTGGTTTCGTAATAGACAAACGAAATCACGTCACTTATGATGTCACCAATTTTAAGACTAATAAATGTAAGGTACAGTTTCTAACATCTCTTAAGTGGATTCTAAAATTACCGAGAACACATCAGAGGCAGGCGACTCAATCGGAAATTATTCATTAGAAAAGATAGGAGTAACTAATCAGAGTAGGTAACTTTTTAGTCTTCACTCAATTCTTTTTTTTTATTATTATTATTATTTTTTTTTAAACTAGGCCAGCTAGCTTGTACAATTAGGCAGCCCAGCTTCACTCGGCAGTTTTGAAAAGCGGAGTCCCAAATTTTTGTCGTCTCAAGTTGTGCCCCTTGGAAACCTGAGCATGTGAACGAGACTCAGATGAAATCAGTTTTCTCCCGCCAGCTTCGCCTGAAATGTACTTTGAACACAAGTGAAAATTGAAATATTTGCAACGATACTAATTTGACTACAAAATTGGTTTTTCACTCGAAAAGTGTCGATTCTTCACATGCATCGACCTTTTCTGTTTTTTTCGCTCTAGAAAACCCTTCTCAGGTTAGAGGCATTATACAAAACGATATAATGTACATAGATCAATCCTTTTTTCATTACTACCATATTTCACACGCGTGATGCCATATGATTAGCACTGAAATACCTTAACAATCTGTAATTGTTGTTAATGCTGTGGCGTAACGTTTGGAACTAGCGTTGTATTTTAATCCTCTAACTCCCATGAGTGATCAAGACAGAATTTCTCTTTACAACATTTTCACAATATCAAGTGATGAGAATAAAGAAAAATATCAATAAGGGGATTATCATTGGATCCAATACCAAATTCTCATAACTGACATAATAAGCATCGTATGGTAAGTAGCAAGGAGAATTACTAATGAGATCCTGGGAGTGAAAGTGGAGTGTTAAAGTTAATAGTTTCTTAGTAGCCTGGATTAGGTCTTTGGTCAGTGGGTCGAGAAAGAAGAGCGACGGCGTGTTCCTTACCACTCATGAATTTTTTTCCCTCACTCGCAATCATCCTATTTTTCCGAAGAGAGTGTCTGGACAGGCTGGCTTTTTTTTCAGGCGTGTGGCAGTTTATGCCAGGCGGTTACAAAAGGACAAAACAGTAAGTTATCGCTGTTCTACATCTTGTGTAACTTGTGCTTCACGCTCGCGTAAAAAAATCTGATAATCGCGAGGCGAGAGGTTCCTTGCTGTTTTGGAGTGACGTCAGCGATAAACAGGCACACCCCTTACATACTTTGCTAAACTACGTCTTTCCAAAAGATCGCAAGGCCGAAAGTAGGCTCTAAACTAACGCACGCTATAACCTGGACACGGAGCCACTTGAATATTTCCAAGCAACAGTTTTAACGGCACATAGAACTCGAAAGGGTTAAACATGGATTTTAAGCTCTTCAAAGTAGCATTTTTTACTCTTGCACTATCGCTGGTCTCCGTGCAAAGCGCTGCTATCAAACAGGCATACCAAACGGTAAGACATTACAATAACAAATGCATGGTTAATGAAAGTCGAATGTTGCACGCAAATACAGAAGCGGGCACTGAGGGAATGCGAGGCAGATAATTCTACAAGTGTGGATTTGAATGTTTCAAATACATATATCCCAAACTTTATCTTTGTCTTATGGTTCACTCGGTAAAATTACCACCATAGAGAGATTTCTGTATGAACACTTGTGTAGTGATGCTGTTGCAACGTTGTGTTTTGGGGAATTTCCCAGCGTTTTCCATCAGAACGGTGGCACTGCACAGTTAGTAGAAACCTTCATGAAAAAAGGGGGAAAAAACCCGACTGCCGCGGCTACCAGCGGCTTTTTAGGGGAAGTTGTGACCACATCAGACAGGTAAAACAAGGACATCCAAGAGATACGTATATTTTGAGCACAAGATAAAAATGTTCATCTTCTACCGGGTAGTTTTTCCACATCTGTAAAACTTGTGAAAATGAGGCGAGAAGCATTTGTAGCTGAGCTTATTTGTTAATTGCTAAAGAACTATAAAATTGTTTAAAATGCTCAGGCTAAAAATCACGATAGTAAGTACGTGATGTCAGTCACCCGGGGGCTTTGAGTTCGGCTGCAATCCAGCTGTTAATCTAAATCTCGTTGTTCATCGTCACCATTGTCGTTGTCATACAACAGCATGCAAAAAGGTCATACAGCGACAGCTGCCAAATACATAAACGCACTCCTGCAGTAATTTTGGGAAATCATAATGTTTTGGTCAAAAGGCTGGCTGAGAAATGAAATGGAGTCATTTTAGACGGAGAACTTTGTCTCTAGCGTGCGAAGACTGGAATGTATTCCAGAGAGCTGACAGATCTGCGAGCATTCGCGCAAGAAACTCTGCACTTGTACTGTCATACCCATGTCCTAAAACTCCGCGCTCTCTTGCATGTTCGCGTTATGGACTCTGTGAGGGATGAACAAGGACTTTTCGTAATCTATAGCATGCTTTAAAAGAAAGCAAGAAAAAAAATGAGATCAACCATTGTGATGACCCTAGAGAATAGCTTTCATTTTTGTTGTTGTTGTGAATTTAGGCAAATAACGGCCGGTGCGAAGCGGATGGTTTAATGGGAGGAGAGGAAGGATTTGTTTCTCTCTCCCCCTCTCGCCTCTCGCGCGTAATTCGCCTTTCACGCTGTCCTCACTCTTGTCTCGCGTAAGCCTTCGCTCCTCGTAAAACGCAAAAAATCACAGCCTGTTGCGCAGATCTTGCAGATTCGTTTCAAGATTTTTCTTGTCGACTTGCGTATCTCCTTTTTCGCCAACAACCTCTTCCATAAACTCTTCCATTACTCATTCCTTATAGGCATCATTTATGGTGAAATTTGGCTACATGGATGATGATGGCAAGAACAGAGGTCCATTGGATCCGAATTCGGCTGAGTTTCGATCTTCGATCAGGAGCCTTCAAAGATTTGGCAACATCCCAGTCACAGGTCAAGTAGACGCAGCGACTATAAACCTCATCAATACTGACCGGTGTGGCGTGAAAGATCCACCCTCAGATGGTGCGGGAAGATTTACCTTACAAGGGTCCAGATGGAAGCGAACAGTAAGGAAATAAGTTATTTGAATTACATCGAAAACTTGTATGCTTTATTGTCGAAGATAATTACGAAACATTTTTTCTTGTTTTCATTGTTTTTAAGAAATACTATTACTCTGTTTTTCGTCTGTTTCTGTAAACACTTCCAAAAATCTAGTTTAAAGTGAAATTGAAGTTGCCAAGATGTTATCAGCTTTTTGGACCGGCCTCAAGCTTTTCTTTTGAAGAAGGATAAGGGAAATTATAAGAGGGTTGAGATATGAGCATATATACCACATATTGGCTAACCAATCAAGACACAAAGTAACATTCGGCTCATTCTCAGCTGCTCGCTCATCGTGATAAGAAAACATTCGTGATTAGCATAATTCTTGTTAGTATCTACTACAACAGTGGATAGCGTTAAAGACGCTCTCTGATTGGCTACTGAAACTCCGAACATCCTTTATCATTTACCCCATAACAACTCGCCCGGGATCTGCGCCCAAAAATGCCGTAATCGTTGCAGAATTTAATTTGTTAAAATCATCTTTTTGGGCTAAATTGTATCACTGTTTTCAATCAATAAATCAATCAATTTATTTAACGTGGTCAGAACGCTTAGCTAAAAGCTAGTTTACAGGTACGCCACGAAATAAAAAGAAAAAAGGAAATTATAAAGCCTTGTGAAGGTATATAAATTTGAATAAATTGAGATTAAGAACTAGCTAATATTAAAATATAAGAATTTAACAATGTAGTCACCGAGTTGAATATATAAAATGTTTTGGTATATCCAAAAAAAAGTTAACATTTCCTTTTACAGGACATAACTTATAGGATACTTAATTACACCAAAGATGGCATACCGATCAGCCAACAGCGGCGAATTTTCAAGAAAGCGTTCGATTTGTGGCAGTCTGCCTCGGCGTTGAGGATAAGAGAGGTGTACAGCGGAGATGCTGACATTCTCATCAGTTTTGTGCGCCAAAAACATGGGGATCCATTTGCCTTTGATCGTAGAGGTGGTACATTGGCGCATGCATTTTATCCCCACAACAACAGAGGCAAGGGTCATGTTTCCTTCGTTGCATATATTTTTATAGGCTTAGTCTTCAGAGATGCAGCATTCATACGTAAGGTATGCGCATTAGGGGATCAATTTTGCCTGGCAGCGCGCTGATGTTGCGCGCGAAATTTCAAAGGAAATATAAGAAACAAACGCTTTCACGAAAAATAAGCAAGAAAATTTGAAACGTTCATAGAAATCTGTAAAGAGAGACGGAAATGAAAGCAGGATAAAGGGAAATTTGAGACTCTTCGAACTCCTCTTTGATTTAGTTTCTATTTTGTTTTTAGCCTCATTACAAAAAGTTATGTTTTAAAATATCACGAATACCTGGCTTTAGGGGGGTTGTTTAGTGACTCCTGCAAGACAACTTGGTTCTGACAGCCTCAAAGCACGGCACCTAACCAACAAAACGTTGGTACATGGATAAACCTTTGGCCATTGTATTGACTAAACCTTAGATTTTAACTATTTCAGAACCCGACTCATTTTATTTTTCCGCGGTTTACAACCCTCTTATGTTTTAAACTGATTACGTTATTCATTTGTTAATTAGTTCCTCTTTTACTTATTTCTCGATTAAGGTCTCTCGGGTGACGCCCATTTTGACGATGATGAACATTTCACAACGGGAACGAAAGATGGCATCAACTTGGACTGGGTGGCGGTTCATGAGTTTGGACACAGTCTGGGTCTAGAACATTCAAACGTAAAAGAATCCATTATGTACCCTTGGTACAAAGGATACGTTGAAGATATCAAACTAACGAATGATGATACGCAAGGCATTCAGTCTTTATATCCAAGTGAGTTGTCTGTTGGTTACTTTCTTGTGTCTTTAGCAGTCTTGCTTTTTTATAGTTGTATCATCTGTAAAATGACCACCTAAGAAACCACCAAAAACCAACATACAGCTGATTCCAGCTGGCTGTAAGCTGTGCTCCAAGATCACACATGGACCGTACAGCGGCTACCAGGGGCGCCATTGTAAGCTTTCGGTTCGACCTTTCTGAGCTGCGTCGTTGCTGTACTTTGCGACGGCGATTAGCAGTGACAATTATTATTATTATAATCGCAGAGAATTGAACTGCGATTATTATTACTATTATCATTATTATTATCATCTTTATTATTAAGCAGCCACCTCTATGTGAAGAGGCTACCAAGGGGCCACTGTAAATTGATTAATTTACTTCGCAATCAAGTAATCAATCAATCAATTCTCCAGTTTGGTGAAACCACATGTAGCTGTCATTATCGATATCCCTATCGTTCCCAAAGATATTTTTAATCGTTTTCATTTTCTCATCAATCGTTATTATTATCATTTTCATTGTTGTCGTCACCACCGTTTTTATTGTAGTCACCATAATTATCATCATCGTTATTATTCATATCATTATCGTTATTATTGATGAGCAGGGATGGCGTAGTGGTGAGAGCGCTCGCCTCCCACCTTAGTGGCCTGTGTTCGATTCCCAGACCTGGTGTCACATGTGCATGCTTATTGATGGTTCTCGTCGTTTTCTCGGATCGTCCGATTTTCCTTTCTCCACAAAAACCAACATTCAAAATTCCAATTCGACCTGGAAGCGATGGACCAGAAGAACCACCACATACCATTTGTTATTTAATCATTTTACTACTATTATTATTGTTATCATTATAATTATCATTATTAATATCATTATTATTATTATTATCATTATTATAAGCTTTCGTACCTAGCACTCTGATGCTTGCTATTTAGGTTCCTGACAGTAATCTCGACAATCTTTTCAGTGCCAACTCCCCGGCGAATCATACCAACTACGAAAATCACTACCACTGTTACTACCACCAGACACCAGTCCCCAACCCCACGACCCACAGCTCCGACTCCTAGCATTCCCGTTATTTGCAGAAGCACAGTTCGTTATGACACAGTGTTTGTTGGCACAAACAGGTGGACGTTTTTCGTGGTTGGAGATAAGTTTTGGATCGTAGACAGGCAGCTGCGCAGGCGCGGTCCATACACCATAACGAGTTATTATCGTGATATCAAGGTCCCATTAGATGCTGCGTACCTCAATAAGAAAGGAAATGTAGTGTTCTTCAAAGGATCAGAGTAAGTTACATTCTTTTTATTAATTATTTCGGCGTTATCTCAGAGGGGTGTACGGTTTCCATACGTAAGGATTGTCACCATTAGATGAAAGGTAGGGGTGTTGACGGTGACGGCCCCATGTTGCTCCGATGCTTGAGCCCAAATCAACGTCCTCGACAGAATCTGGAGGGGAAGCGACTCAACCAGATGCTTCATGCAAAAGATGAGATAATATCTGGCAATGTTCAATGTTCTTTATTTCGAGAGGGTAGATACGTGATTAACACAGTAAAGAGTTTTCTAACACATGGCTCTCTAATAAACCCACCCAACCCACCCCAGGGGAGGATATCCATCACACAGTAATCTCGTGTGTGGGAAATTATCGTCTCCTACCCCACCCCTGTAGGAGACCGGACCTCCGGCGGCATTGCTAGTTATAATCGTATGCAGACTTTCTGTTTAGTCTCGGTGGGGGTGGGGAAGCAGTTGGAAGAACTAGCATCTTGGTGCCGCCTACAATATTCCAGATATAAATATAGAGGCAAGACGTTGTATTGGTCTTGCCTCTATATTTGTATTCGTTATTTTGGGTCGATTATATCACAGCTGATCCAAGAGTAAGATTATCGTCCACGGTTGCTTGCTGAACATTTCACAATATTCCAGAGCATTACTCCAATATTTACGTGGAGAATGAATAGACATCGTATAGAATGTCCAAGCGAGGAAAATTGAAATATTTCTAGATCCTCTTCTGCTTTCCATAAGCGGGATTCCCAATTCACTCTGACAAGGATGAGAGATTGTCTTGGGGATTATACCTATGAGAGATTCAGTTTTTTAGCGCATTACTTACTTGGTCCTTGTTTCAATAATTGAGAACATCCTCCCCGCCACAGTGACACTCCCATGGCTTTACACCCTAACGTCAATATACATATTCTCCATGCTGTTCTCAATAAATTTCCTAAGCTGCTGACAAGGAGAATTTATTGAACAATCAAAAGGTTCTTTAGTTGGTGATGATTTTCTTTATTGTGCAGATTATAGATCATATATAAAAGATAGCCTCCATATGGCGCGAAAACATTCAAGGATATTTTATCCGCAGACATCATCTGTTCCGAAATGCGAACAGTTTTTCGAGAGCGATGCTCGAGGAAAAATGTGAGCTTCGAGGAACAAACAATGTCCAAGGACAAATATGAGCATATTTTCGTGCCAAATGGAGGCTATTGTGTTTATTGTACTTCAAATATTTTTCAACGAGCGGGAAAAGTGTTTAGGACCAGCTTACTGTTAACGGCGGGGGATGTTCACTTTTCAGTGTTCCCTGCTACGATTTTATGAACAAAACAAGTATGTTCCTCTTTCTGTAACAAACACAAACGTTCTCATCTCGAATTAAATCTAAAGCGCAGATTTTCCATATTGGACGTAAGGTTTCAAAATCGGAGAAAATCACTCGCGCGCGAGTTCAAATATTTGTTGGATTGTTATTTGAAATAGATGCATTATTTGCTCCTGACCATCTTTTATTCCTCTTTATTCTTATCCCCAGGTTCTGGGAATATGACTCCAAGAGAGTGTTAAGGAATTCTGGTCAAATTACCCGGTACGGTCTTCCCTCTGCTCTCGCCAACATGGATGCAGTTTTCACATGGGAAAGGAACAAGAAAACTTACTTGTTCAAGGACACCCAGTACTGGCGATACAACGAAGACACCCAGAGCACAGACTGGGGCTATCCCAAGGGTATCAAAAACGCCTGGAGATCACTACCCAATCACATTAATGCGGCAGTACGGTGGGTCAACGGAAGAACCTACATTTTCCGGGGGAAGCAGTATTTAAAGCTTCAGCATAGAAAGGTATATATGGAGCGAGGATACCCTCAAGAGATTGCAAAAAGATGGATGAAATGTAACTCTGGCGATGAAAAGGACAGGGGTTTTGCCTCAGAAGATCCTTAACAATACACGAAAAAATGCCATTTCCTTTTTAACGTGCATGTATTTTTAAGCGGAAGAATTAAATGAAACATTTAAGCGTTGAAGGTCTCCTTCAGAAGTCACAGGTTTATGAGTCAAAGGAAACAGGTTGCTGCCCGTAACAGAGAGAGTGTCGTATTAATGATGATTAAGTGGATTCAGATTTCATTAACGTTATACTCAACTTAAACATCTAACCCTAAAATCATCAACTTTTCTCCCACCTGACTAGAAACAGCGCTGAAAGTTCTTCGCTAAACATATTTTCCGTCATTTCAGAACGTTTCCTGTTGACTACTCCTTTAACGTGCGCGTTTAATTAGTCCAGCACCTGTTACCCTCCCCTCCCATCCACAACCCACGCAAATATTTGCTCCTCAACATTTATGTAAGTCCCTGTTCCTAGGACCAATGGCCTTCTGAAAAAACCTTCACCATCTAAGAAGTTGTAACCCAGCAAGTCGAAAAAATTTGGACTTATGACCGTACAAGATGCTACTTTTAGCATGCGCGGTCAGCTGTACCGTGGGCACGCCAACGCCACGGCTTTGTCCAGTGGTCAGTGCACTGGGCTCCGAGTCGGACGACCTGGGTTCTAGTCCTGGCCGGGGCAAGGCATTGTGCCCTTGAGACGTGCGGGGAAAAAATTGCGAGCTCCGCTTTTAGGCTTGGCTACTCTATACATTAATAATTGAAATATTCATGAAGGATAACCCTTCAATAGAAAAGGACCAAAAGTACTGTTACCAACGGGTCCTGCTGATTAATAAATATCAAAAAATAATAAATTATTAAAATGTATAAAAGATAGAATGTATGAATCAAAAAGAAACTAAGTTAAAAAGTACTAAAACAACAATAAGAATCACACGTAATAATCGTCCAGGGCTTCCCTAAATAAAACTCCAGAGTTAATGTTCCTTAAATATATAGACAATGGGATAAAAATCGAGGCACCCTCCCCCATCCTCCCCCAAAAAACGGTAAAAAAATTAGAAGAAACTACAACAATGTTTTACTAATTGCAGTCGACAACACCTAAGGGTTAACAAAAGGGAAATGCAAGAAAAACCCCAGAATCCTCTTGGAGAGGAAGATCTTTTCATATTTAATATCAAGGTAGACTAGTGTTGTGCTTGCTCACTTATACTTCGCAGAGGTTTTGAGTTATTTCAAAGAGAAAATTGTCATTGAGCGGAAAGGCTTCATTGGAACGCAGTGAAAACATTTCCTGTCATTGGCTGCTTTTGTACATGTGCGAGACAGAGTAATTGGCTTGAACAATTAATCGATGATCGGTTTTTAACAATCATTCATCTGGAATTTAATGGATCGACCACAATTTTCCATTGTCTTTTTCAATTTTTTTTAATGCGTCTTTTCACTCACTGAACAGACGCATAATACATACCATACGACGTCCAAATGTAGTAAGAACCAAATTAAAGTAGTACACAAGGCACAGCTAGCACATTTTGATATCTTCTGTGAACTGCTACTGTACAGACTCACGGCGACATGGAATCTTTTTTGTTTTTATATGATATGCTGAATCCTAAACGCATTTTTATTGGCTTGTTTCTATAATCCATTGAAGGACAAACGCAGATTTTGATGTCACCATTAAAAACACTCTGCTTATTTATCATATACTTGAAAAGTCTGTGAATCATTCTTCTTTGACTGGGTGATTTACAAACTTTACTCGTGTTCTCTTAACAACCAGCTTGGGTTATTACGTCAGTATGCCGTCTATCGCTTTACTTGGTAAGGGTTCTCGACCAATGGGTGTGCGATAATTTCTACAGCTGTTGTGAAAATAATATTTTTATCCTTGCATGTGTGACGAGAAATAAATCCAATTATAACGCCGTCCTAGCACCTATCAGACAAATTAATATTTAATAAGGATGTAATTATGATTAGGTATGAAAGTTTAACAACAAAAGAGAATGTGGAAATAAAGGGATGAGCTGTCATAAGCCCATTTTTTTGTCAGGATTATACACTGACGTTTCTGTCTGATGACGAGACATTTTTGCACACAAATCGGGTAGCATTACATTTGATTGGTCTAACAGTCATGCTCCCCGGAAATAAAAGAAATAAAATAGCTGACAATTAAGTGAAGTGGGCTGGTATCTTTCCACCCCAACAACACAAAAGTATTAAAGGGGCGTTAACTTCATTATCTAACTTGTTAAGGTTTCTGGTAGGCATTAAGAATCCGGGCGCGGGCACCTCTGGAATGTGTTTGTTTTCTGAGGGCTCAACGAGTGATTACATCGTAGAGGGGCATATGGTGTGCGTCTAAATTCCTTGGGAACATAACGTCTTAGTTCTTGGTCATCCAGCTGGGTTCAATCAAGAAAAATCCCAATATCGATAACACCGTACCTGCGTCGCCCACGAAGATTAATCAGCTTAACGGATGATATGCGCATAATCCGTAATTTCTATTTCCTAGGAGTGGGAGGGTCAATTTTCAAAGTTTCAAATGAGAATTGAGTTGTTTGAATAAACTCAAAGCTTGTCGGATTTCCTTTTCCATCATCGAGACCACTTTTCATTTCCTCTTTGTACAGTTTGACATATCATTAGTTTTTGGGGCGCGGTGCCAGCTTTGTTACTAAATATAAAAGAAGGAATATTATTGTGTGTTTTCCACTTGTCGTGGGATGATTACATTCGTAAACCTCCATTGTTGAGCATTTGGCAAATTTTTAGAAATAATTTCTGTTGTAATTGTATACCTCGATAAGGTCCGTGTACGTCAAGCAAGGAACCTGTTCGCGAGCAATAGCATCGAAAGTAAAAGTGTTCACTACTTTTCAACATGAGCTTCGTTAAATCTCTATCTATTTTGACAGCATTCCTGGGAATAATGGTTGCTTTTGCATCGGCAAGACCTACAAGTGTACCGCCAAACGTTTTGGTGAGTTTTTATTGGATGTGATAAGCTTTAATAAATCTTATTAAGGAACGAAAATCTTTGCGATCAAGAGGCGACAGTTTTTTCGGTCAAACTGAATTGGAACAAAATTTCTTAAACATGCATATATAGCTACTGTTAGGGCGCTTAGTTGACGATAGACCCCACATTTTAAACTAATATAATTCAATTTAATTTCCATTGCTGAAATTATACTCCTTACATTTTTCTATTTAAAATGTCCTTACTACTTTCGATATGTAAACGTTTTAGTTTTTTTCATTAGTTATTTCTTTTTTGCTATATGTCTTGTTTAAACTATCTCCCAAGGCAAACATTCCTCCGTGGGATACCTTAACACGAAAGTATTGAACAGGAAATTCAGAATTTAGGAAGACACTTTCCGTAAGGATACATTACTGTGAGAGAAACGTCGAAACGTAGAAGTTCAAAATTTGGGAAACGCATTTTCTGTAAAGATGTATTACAGTCAGGGACAAGTCGAAACTTGGGAAATTCAGAATCTAGGATAACACATTTTCCGTAAGGATGCATTACATTCAGAGACACGTCGAAACTTACAGTAGAACTTTGACGTCCTAGGCACCACGTAAATGTTAACTTTCTTCTCCTGACTCAGATAATTGTCAATATGCCATACTTTATCAAGTATTTGAATTCTCTTTGTAATTCAAACCGTTTACACCGAGTTTTAAAGAAACAGCGTGGGAAAAATTCTTCACTTCTGTTTAAACTTCGGGAATGAAAATTTCACACCAAAGAATTTCACTTAAAAACCAAAAGCCTCTTTGTTTTTCCTGTGTTCAAATATTGGATAACAAATGGAAAGATTCTCTGAAAGTGATGTCATTATGACGTCAATATTTTTTCAGTCATCATTGTCAAGGAGGGCCGCAGGAACAAACAAATAGCTTAAACAAACCTACGCTTGTAACACAATTACGAAAGTTTAGCAAATTATGATATACGATGTAAAAGAAAACAACTTTTGAATTGCAGAATTTCATTTCGCCGGATGTTCACAAAAGCTCCCATTCAATTACGTTGGGTACAAAGTTTGACGGGTCCACTTGAACAACTGCTAGATATGAAACTTCACGCTATGTACAATTGAAGTTCTTTCCTTCAAAAGTCTGTCGCACAACGGGCCCCGTCTGGCCTTAAAAACGACAATTCATTTACAAGTACAATTCTTTCAGACTTTGAACTTTGGATTTTCGATGGTTAAAAATCCCAGCTCTTTCTAGCACACACTGCCCCCTTGGGTCAACGTTTTGTGATACTGAAGCACGTCAGACTGTAAGGGCTAAAATTGACTTCAGCATAACTAGTAAATATCACATTATGCCACATAAAACTTCCATGAATCACTTTTTATATGCTATACCCATGGAAGACAGTTTTGAGTGTAAACTCTTGAAAGATTTCGGCCGAAAGCATCCTTTTTGGTAAAAACCAAACAACGAAGCTTTGGAGCATATCCAAAACTAATATCCATTCATCAGACACGGGAAGAATGCGGACAGCAACATTTGTGTCTTAACGCTTGCGGTTTGTAAGCTATTAATAACTAAACATTAAACCACACACACTGCTGCCAAACAATGTAGATATAACAAAAATAGTTCACATTCCTCCAAAGATTATCCCATGAGTCTGACCTGGCTTGAAGTGCAACTTTCTTAACAGGAAGCGTTGTTTTCAATAACAGCAAAACGTTGAGAGTTTATTGTTCAAAGAAATCTTGTAAACGGTCTTAATCTGTCGTTGAGCGTATATTTTCGTTCAAGTTTGGTTCACAGCCTGGGGTAATAATTATTGAACTCACTTCTTTTGAATCATTTTCTTGACATAATGTTAATTTTTGAACTGAGTATTTCAACTTTCCGGTTTGTTTTCCACTTTTGTCTTGCTAGTAGGGGACACATACACTGTACACTCGCGGCAATATTCCACAATCGAGGCGTCTGAATCCCAGAACAGAAAGGCTTCATTCAAAATCTAGTTTCCGTGAAAAGGGGACCTATATTATTAACAATTTTTGACAAATGGAATTTATTTCCTGTTGGGGAAAGAAGTACCCTCTCAAATTTGCCTCGCTCCCAACATGTGGCTTCGTAGTTCAATTGATAGAGCTGAAATCGCAGTTCACGTGCGATGATCACTTCGCTGATTAACCCTTGAACTCTTAGGATCCTATTGTTAAAATCTCCCCCTCTACTGCTACATATTTCCTTGTGAGTTAGTTACCAGAATTTGGTGTTAGATCAAGAAATAGTTCATACATGTTTCTTTATATCGAAGATTACGACACGTCAGTATTCGCAGTTATTTCGGGCTGAGAAAACAATACAAATCACGCCCAAGAATGATCAATCTAGCCGGCGACCACTATGCACACTTTTTAATTGGACTTCATCTAGTCCACGTACGCTTTCTGCACATTTTGAAAAGTTTGCCGTCATCAGTTTTTTTTTTCTTTTTACAATCCTTGTCACTATTACATATCTCAGTTAGAACGTGCGTTATGATTGGCCAATTTAGCGGGCTGTATTTCACTGTACGGCCCGCTAAATCAATATGTTGGTTTCAATTGAAATATCCCCCTCTGTTTGAACTCAGAGATATAATTAATATCTGACTAAACTGGTCTCTTGGTCCGCCCTAGCTAGGAAAGTGACTTTTTGTTTTCCTATAATTTGAAGAAAAAAATCCTTACTAAACGTATCGTATGGTGACTTTTAAAGAGAAATCACTTTATCATACTTTATTTGTACTTGGCTGTTTATGTGTTTGTCGATCTTCTCGCGGCATTTAAAAGTCTGAACAACCGTTTTTTTTTTTAGAATTACTTGGAGAGATATGGCTATCTGTCACCTAGCGATGTAAAATCAGGAGAAGTGAAAAGCGAAAGAATACTTGATCAAGCGGTGAGGAATCTTCAACGTTTTACAGGGCTTAACGAGACCGGAAATCTAAAGGACCCTGAGATGATACAGTTGGTTACCAAGCAACGCTGTGGTTTTCAAGATCTCAATAAAGCGGTAGAGTTCCGGAGAAAGAAAAGATATGCTCATCATGGAACTTCATGGAAGAAAAGGGTGAGTGGACAGAATGGGGAGGGGGGGAGAGGGTGAGTGGACAGAATGGGGAGGGGGGGAGAGGGTGAGTGGACAGAATGGGGAGTGGGGAGGGTGGAGGGGGTGTGGGTTGATTAGCTACAGTGCTATCCAGGTGGAAATTGAACACAGACCAGCTAACTAAGTAGAAAGAACTCGGTAGGTTTGCAATTCAAAGCTTTCAAAATCTATCTCGCTGCTGAATAAGGAAAGAAAACATAGGAGAACGCTGTTGTTCTAGAAGGATGGATAGGATACCCAAGGCGGTAAAATGACTCAAAAGTTTTTTTTTTTCTAGTTTTTTAAATGTTCTTCTGGCGAATTTGAAGTACTCGACAATTCCTCATCGATGTTTGGTTTATTTTTCCTATGTGACCTTTTCTTTTACGACGTTTTACATTTTCCCAGCGTTTAACTTACAAGATAACACGCTATACTTCAGACCTCACCAAAAGGCAGGTAGACAAAACAATAAAGTCTTCCCTGAAGATGTGGGCAAAGGTAACTCCGCTGACCTTCTCAAAAGTAAGCAGTGGTCCCGCGGACATTGAACTTGTTTTTGAAAAAAGGAAAGACGATGACTATTCTTTTGACGGGAGAGGAGGTGAACTGGCTTACGCTTACTTTCCTGGCAATAACGAGGGTGAGTTGATAAAATCCTTCATGTTTATTTAAAGAGAAGGTTTAAATTTAGTGAGGCCTGATGTAGAATCTTCAGTTAGTTACCAAAGAAGTTTGTAGCTTGTTGGACTTGGTTCGTAATAGGATGGTAACTTAGAAACACCTTTTTTTTTAACTTTTCTTTTAGATTGCCAAAGGTATTTCAATAAGCCAAAAAATCTTAGGATTTAGTTTAATTATAGTATCGATGGGAAGCATTTTCCAATAGTTGGAAACGTCATTTGAAGCCAGCAAGTTGGGTCTCCATTTCTTTTTCTTATTTCATTTTTTTTAATCATCTCCCAATCGTATTTCGTTTATCTTGGATAATGATTTGAAAATCTAGGATCGTGGACTCGAAAGTTTAGTCATTGCCTCACTTTTAAGACTTCGGTGTTTATTGCCCTGACATTCTGAGTTTTCTTTATCATTTTTACTTTTTACTTAAGGCGTGTAAATGTTTTTTTGATCGAGAAGGAACGGGTATGCGATTTTTGAAAGTCACTTCATCTAGTGCTCTAACTTCCGTTTTGTTCTGGACGAATGTAACCTACTCGGTCGTAAAGAAAACGCCATTATTCTGTGAAAGAAAAGGAAAATCGGGACCAACTCAGACTCTCGATTCTGATTTGATGTCGGCTAACTTACTCTCCTTCCTTTTTTAGGGTACTTTGGAGATGTCCATTTTGATGACGAAGAAATGTTCACGGTTACCAGACAGAATGGAGCAGTGGATCTTAGATGGCTAGCCCTCCATGAGCTGGGACACAGTTTGGGGCTCGCTCACTCCAAAAACAAAAGGGCAATTATGTACCCGATTTATGAGGAAAGTCTGTCGGGAAATAGACTAAACCGTGATGATATTCTTGGAATTCAACACATATACGGTGAGTCGATCCATTAGGCTTCAGCATTGAGACGTGGTTTGCAATCTAAGATTACTTGGTTTTTATTTTCTTTGACAGATTGAGAAAACTTGAGTTTTTATACCCACAAATCAAACGCAAAACTCAAAATGGTCATAGACGTTTTTTTGGCCTCATGTAGCAACTGCTGCGATTAAGTTTTTGGTTTTAAGACTCACGATCGTAATGCACTCTGACGGTGCGTACCGTTTGCTGACAATTTTTAAAGGAAATGAGACATTGATCATATATTCTTAATTTACCAAGATCAGACTTCTCAATCAATTCAATTTTCAAACGAAATGAGACATTGATCATATATACTTAATTTACCAAGATCAGACTTCTCAATCTGTTTGTTCAGATTAATGTCCATAGGACTATACCCACCCTTTCTTGCGAGGGTCTGCTTGTCTTTGTCGCCCCGTTCAAATTAAATCTCAGTCAGTAGAGATGAGTGAAAAATTTTGCGGGCGAAAAAGTGCAATTGCCTTTACGAATTAAGCGGAAGCACGACATGTGTAGCTTTTTCCTTGACAACCACAGTCACCACGTCCACTTGTTTTTGTGTTTCGCGGGCTCACTTTTACTTTCGTCTCCAACTGTCGAGAACCTGGCACAGGTTAAGGTTTACTAACATTCTCATCAACATGTTTATGTTTAGGTAAGCCCAAAATCAACAGAGCCACACCCACTCCTCACTTTGACCCCACCCAGTCTCCGGGAAAACCCAACCCTTGCAGCAGTACGCTTGACGCCATGATAATGACCGCTGACAAGATAACTTACGCCTTCAAGGGGGCATATTTTTGGCCGGTTGGTGATCAGGGAGCATTTACTGGAGCTCTGAAAATATCTCAATTCTGGGAAAAACTCGAGGATGATATTGACGCTGGTTACACAAGAGGTTATGACGGACTTACCTTCATTTTCAAGGGATCAAGGTATGTAGTACTCCTTCGTTTTTCCATACACCGAATGCAAATATGGCGTCTAATTTGAATTGCCTTTGTTCTGGACTCACTAGCCTCGTCTTCACGTGGAAATACAAAAGGATTATTACATGTGTGAGAGGCTAGTCAGTCCAGAACAATGGCAACTCAAATTGGACGCCATATTTGCATTCGGTGTAAAGATCTATTTGACATCAGTCAATTCTTTTTCCCCCCATCCCTCTCCCCCCTATTTGCTCATTTATTTTCTTAATCACTCCTTCATCCAAACATCACTACAGCCTCGCTCTGGGAAAGCGTTCGCCGCATAGAGCAGATGTCCACGGATAAAAATGCGAGCATCGATTTTTTTTCACGCCAAATGGAGGTTACTTTTAATATGAAATAATTTATTTTATCCTCAGATACTGGACCTACAAGAATAGGTCATTGGTACAAGGTCCATTAAACATAACAGACCTAAACCTGCCTGGTGAAGTACACAACATGGATACCGCATTAGAGTGGGGTGCAAATGGAGAGCTGTACATCTTTAAGGGTGACAAATTTTGGAGATATAACAGCGAAAGAACAAGCATTGACCCTGGATACCCCAAAACCATTCACTCTGTGTTACCAAATCTACCGAATCATTTGAATGCTGCACTGCAATGGAAAAACGGCAAAACGTACTTTTTCAAAGGGGCACAATATTACGCCTTAAACGACACTTCTATTCAAATACAGAAAGGGTATCCCAAGACTATTTCCACTTATTGGATGGGATGTTCTCCAGCAGGTTTAAAAGCTGGGAAAATATCGCCGTATCGTTCATCAAAACATGCACATGCGCATGATTCCGTTCGTTCTTCTTCCTCTTCTTCTTCTTTTGCAACTGAGGCGGAATACATTGTTATAGTAGCTGGTTTTATTTCTTCATATTTCCTAATACCGAATATACGTTAAGTGATAGAATGGATTTGTTTGATAAAAAAAAAAAAGTCCAGCAGAGGCCTGTTTCAGGCGTTTGGTTAGAAAACCAGAGTAAGGTTGTAAAACACGATAACGGCGTCGGGGCGAAACACGTAAAGGAGGGCTTGGGTCGTGTCGTGTTCGTTACGCGACTTGACCCAAGCCTTCCTCCCACATGTCGGCGGGGCGAAAATAGGGGGCTTGGGTCGTAACGTGCTCATTACGCGACTCGACCCAAGCTTCCCTCCCACATAGTCAAGAATTGATTCGATAATTTCCAGAGGAAGGGTAAATCGATCGATCTATCAATTAACCAATCAAATTATACAAAACTAAACCGAGTAACTTACTCTTCAGAGGACGAAATATATATTTTCGATAACTTTGGTATTGGTACTCTTCCACTCTAAAAAATATTCCAAGTCCCACGGTATACGACGTGGTGTACATATATTTATTTATTATAAGTTTTATATATAAAAGTGGCGTGAAAAACGACTTCAAGGACCTTTTAATATATTTTATGAAGGAAAGATTTAATGTTAAAATTAAAAGTGTGGTTCAGTATATGTATAAAAACTGCATATCGCTCGTTAGCCAAATGTACAATTTAAGATAAACATTAAATTTTCTTCTTATTAGCTTTACCCCCGTAGAGGACTGAGTTTGCCTGAAAGATTACACTCCATGTACAAAATAAAAAAGCAAGTCAAAGCTTTGTGTCACTAGTCAAAGTTCGTTGGAGGGCCGGTTTCAAACTGAAATCAGTGCATATTCTAAACCGCTGAAAGACTTTAAAACCGGAATGACTTCGGCGAAGCAACCGAAGTGAACACGCGACATTTTTGCAGAGGAAATATTCAAACAATATTCACAGAGTGATGTTTACAATGCTGAAAGCAGCAAATATATCACCGTAACTAGTCAGCAGCTAGTTCAAACTGGCTTTCAAAATTGTTCTAGAAACAATTAGTAAATCTGCTTGCAGTGTTCGTGTATTATATAATCAAGAGAAAATGAAAGGAATACTAAGTTAATTAATAAAAGATGAGTTTTAGCTGATATCCATTTTTACGACGAAAACTAAAGGGGAAGAACCACTGAAGGTCAAAATGAAAAAGGAAGAACTTCAAGATTATATAAATGCAAATTAACAAGATGGAGTAAGGGCAAATTAAATCGAATCTCAGATATATCTATATCTCGGAGCCCATCGTCGATATGGGCAAGTTAAAAAGATGTAGTTGGTAAATATATCTTATTAACCAAGCGCGAGGGCCGTACTGGGAGAGGTCTTGACAGTACGGACCGAGCGCAGCGAGGTCCGTACAAAAAAGATCGAGGGCCGATATTCTTCCATTACGGTCCCGAGCAAGCTTGGTTAATAWGAGATTTATTATACGACTGAAGTTCAAAGGGACACAAGTGCGGTATCATTCGGGACCATTCGGGACAGTGCCCGGTCCAATACTGAGAGAATATTGACCGGCAATAGAGCATTTTGATTGGTTGATTTTAGTTTTTGGCCCTCTGACTGCCCGAGTCGTGTAAGAAGGCTGTTTATTATATGGCTGTGTCTCACAAGGACTGGGAACTACCGAATTCACGAATTTGTTTGGTTGAAATCAATATTGAAAGCGGTCTAGATTTTCCCATCTAGACCGGCATCTAGACCGGTCTAGAAAAAAAAGTTACAAAGAATATGTTTCGTCGCTTTCTAGAGACAGCCATATAATAAACATCTTATGAACCGAGCTAGGTCGGTCTGTATGGGAGAATCCTCACCTCGGTCGCTGGTACAGACCACACTGCGTTCGTTCTGTACAGGCGACCTCGGTCAAGATTCTCCTATACAGACCTCCCGCTCGGTTAACAAGAACTATATGTAACAAATACATAATTATACGGAATTATTTCTCGGAACTACCCCTGAAACGGACTTGGCCTCTCTCCATAAAAGCATAAAAGGTTTATCAACTTGAGTTGAATAAATATGTACCTGTCGGCAATTCAATATCACGACTTTGTTGGGACATAACACTATTAAATTAAATAGAGGTCCATAAAATAAAAACCTCAGAATGCGTGTTCAGGGGAATAAACGTTGAACTGATAAATGTAAAACACATACCTCTAGTTCTTCCTCTAGTTCTTTGGAGTCTCGATTCTGCACAAATTATTAGTAAAACCTTTTTAAAAATTCTGACGGCGATCGGGTTATTGTAAACCACAAGTGACGGCCATTATGATAATGACTTTTACTGTATTAGGGCAAAAATAGGATTTTGTTCACTTAATATTCTTAAGATTACGGCTGAAACGTGATAACTTTTTCAATAGGCTATAACAGGCCTTAATAAGGAAACAGATTAACAAATATCACTGTTTTCTTTTCAGAGGATCACGAATCGGTGGTTTGCTGAACAAATAAAATCTGACCACATCCGTTTGAGCGCAGAGAACACAATCATCCGACCTTTTCTTGAGACAAAGGGTAATGATGAAGGTTATTTAACAACTCTTAAATGTGGGTAAAAAATCTCCTTGAAATAATTTTAATATCAGTTGCATTTGTGCGGTATTAAGGAAAGAAAGAAGATCATGTCAAATGCTTAGCCTCTTTTGATAACGGCTAATAACGTGACAATCTTATGATAATCAGGCATTAACAGACCTTCAATCTTGTTTACTAGCCGGGAAACAGATCATAAAAGATCATTGTTTCTTTTCGAGGGGTCGCGGACTTAAGGTTAGATAAAAAAAAACGTGGCTGACCACATCCGTTTTAGCACAATGTATTCAGAACTAAATCATGTTTAGTCGTCTGGTGAATTATTGAATTACGTAATGTTGTTTGCAAGACCTAATTAATTTTTGAAATTTGTTCGACTTGGATGGGATTTCTCTTTCTTTCATAAATGTTCTACAGACGGGAAAAAGAGAATCAAGGCAGTTTCGGAACGAGTGAAAAACATATGTACCAAAAATTTCCTTAAAAAAGTGATTCCGGTTGTGAGGCAGACACGTGATACGAGCTAAAACGATAAATGTAATAAAGGACTTGATTTTATTCTCAATTGTAACAACGCACAGCCTCGAGTGAGTTGCAAATAAATGTGTCGTAGCTTTAAGCTTTCGTCCCGTCACTAATTTGCCCACGAGGGACCGGGGGATGGAGTATCCCTCGGAGTTCGTGGCGGGGGTATGACATCCGGTTCTCCAAATGTTGACCCTATTATTACACCCCAGTTTCAAACTTAGCTTCTCTGTAACTTATGCTGGGTTTTTTAATCCAAGCCGCTTTGTTGTATCATTATTTAGCTTCTTGTCATTACCAAAGACAAGAATTGGTGATAAACTTCACCCAGCATTAAGCTTGAATGATGTAATATTAGCCAGTGAAAGACTACGTACATGCTGGCTAGGCCGACCCTATCCAAGCCTCTCTCCTCCGTTTCTGTAGCGAGGTTCACTATCCTTGTTTCTTGCTGGGCGACTAAATCAGATTAGAAAGATGTTTTGGTCAAAATTCCTTTCTTTGCCATTCATTTTCTTTTTCGGAGTGGCATTCCGTGCAAACCTGTGTATCTTATATCGAGAAGCCAATTTATTAAATTACACTAGACCGTAATCAGTATATTCGCCATAGGTGTAAAGATAACGAAATTACGGCAACTGTTTCCAATCAGCCGTGCCTTACGTGTATGGCAACTACCCAGCCTTCACGGTTAGTGCTATGGGAAGCGCATGTTGCTCCCTGATATCCTTAAAATCTTAGTGCGAAAGAGACCTTACGTTTGATACCAAACGGCAAATAACAATTTATGAACTGATACCGTGCATGAATCCCAGATCGACTTTTTCCAGACAGGTTTTCACAAGGCAAGGGCTGCCTTACCTTTATAGTTTGTTTTTACTGAAATTAAAATTTTGGAAGAAATTTTTCTCCTCAGATTTAAGAGGAATACGTGGGACAAGGCGGGGTACTTGACGTCAATTAATGACGTCAGTAGAGCGGTTCCGTTCACCGGAAGTTGATCTCAGCTAACTTAGTCAGTCTGAGATTACACTTTTTGGGGCAGCATTGGGGGCAGTTATGCCAGCCATTGACAAAAAGCTGCATAAAAAAAAAGAAAAAAACTAAGCAAAACAAAAATTGACGACAAAAAAATCACGACGAAAAAAAAAATGAAAAAAAAATAATAATATAAATATAACGAAAAACCAAAACAAAACCGAAAAGTTTGAGCACATTTTTCACTCAAAACCGAAAGTGATGCAAGGTGGTCCACGAAGCTTGCTTCAAGCCTATTTGTAGCTATCCATCGAATGTCACTCTTGGGTGTTTGTAAAATTTTCGTGCAAAAATGATCGTCGTGCTAAAAGCCCTCAAACCTTGCATGAATCAGTGTGACATGCTGATCGAAAATGGAAACGAAAAATATCAAAGACTGGGACTATACCACCAGTTTTTTTGATAAATTCCGATAACAAACTTCACTAAACTACAGAGCAAGCAAGTGTAGAGTGTCGTGTATTCCACTAAAAGGAATTTTTGTTCCCTTGTTCGAAGCGTGGGCGTGTTAACAGATGTTTGAAAGGTCAGCGTTGAAAAGGGTTCCGGTAAACTGTAGGGCGAACGTTGAAAATGTAGTCGGGCAAGATATCATTGAGCCGACTCGGAGTCTCAAAAATCATTTTGATCGAAAACGTGATAATGAGCTCGCAGCGGCGGTTTGTTTATCTACAAACAAATTTATGCTCTCACCAAATAAGAAACTCAGCAAGTACGTTTTAAAACAATAGGACAATATAAAAAAAAAAGAGGGGGCGTATAGTTAAAAAGACAAACTACCAATTTAGTCGGCTAGTGTATAAGAAACAAATGAGGAAGGATTGATATGGCTGTATTAAAAATGGCGCCATTGAAGATGATATTCCTCAAATAGGACGTACTTATAGCCGCTGCTCGCCCCATTAATGAGCAGACATGATGTTCAACATTACACCTGAAAACCTGTTGCTTTTCTGATAAGAATAATTCTTTACATTGTCGCAGTTTGGATTTGAGTTACTTCACCGTATCGTTGGCTTTTTTCTTTTTTTTTTATCTTTTACATAATCTGTTATTCTATCAGTGTCAAAATAGAAAAGTTTCCAGCTGAATTCAACCTCGCGTAAGTTTATTTCTTTATGATAAAATGAATGATATTGGCCAGACTGAACTACTGATAAACAACCGCTAGGAAATATGAACAGCGTTTGAGTTTTAAAAACGTCGGTCAAGACACAAACACCCGAGGCGGGTAAGCCTAAGATATAGATCAATTGACTTACAAATCAGGGAAGCTGACATGAATTGAAAATCTGTGTCAACCCATTTTCAGCTGTCATCGACTTTCCTCGACTTTGAAATATTATAGCATAGACAGCGATGATCATATATGGAGGGATATCAAACATCAGGTTGTTAGTCTTGGCAAATAAGCTTTCCTCTTATCTGTCAATAGCAGTTGAGAGAGCAGCAGACCATATTGTTTCCGATTATATTGTTTCCGTTTACTTGCGGTTTACGTGATCATACAACACAACTTGTTGAGTAATCCCCACAACTTTGCCAAATACGGTAGTGAAATTGAAAACCACTGTTTGTAGCGGAAGTGAGCTATTACTACGGTCAGTTTCCTATAAATTGTCCACACTTTTGATCTTTTTCAAAGTGGTCTGCACTCCTCTTCCTGAGCATTGAAAAAAAAAGTCTAGAAAAGCGTGACAGAGGCGCTATAAACAAATATTGCGTTGTTGTGACGAGGGCTTCTTGTTTCGTTAGACACTTGGCATCTGACCACGCAAAGGGAGGTTTTGCTTATAAAGTACAGAGCCTTCTTATTTAATTTCAGTTGGGGACAAGAAGTCAAATCGGCCAGAAGTCTGCCGCTGAAAGATATAGAGTAGTTATTTCAGTGCTTAAAATTCTTTGAAGGCGGTGAAGCAGAGAATGGCGTTCAGTGAAATTATCGTCACGTTCTGTTTCCTCGTTTGTTTGCAAAATCCCGTGGCCGAAGGAGGTCCAGTTAACTCAAAGCAAGTGGCTCAAGGAATTGTAAGTAAAAATATAATTTGTTCATAAACTCGTTGTGGGTTCGATGTTGTCACAATATACTGTTTTATCGAGAGGCAAATTTTAGTTAAAAATTTTGTTCCAATTTCCTATGCGGCCCGACGAAATTTCCTTTCGTGAAATAAATACTGTCGGAACCAGCGCAGTGATCATGAATGTGTCCGAATAAAAACCAGTAGTACCATCTACGAAACGCTATTTAATCAAAATTCATAGCTGAATTGTAGCCTTTGCGTAATCGCTCTGAAATTTCTCGAATGAAGTTTTTTTTCAGCGAAATAGCCATTACGTCAGAGAAAATGCTTGACTTTATCTTAAATTACGTCATCTCTTACTGAGCACGCAGTCCATGAGAGTCACTTATCCAAGTTTAATTGACTAACTTCTCTTAAGACACTTTATTCAAACGAAGACAATGAGTATAATAATCAGGGAGCATGATTGATTAGTTTTGCATGTCGTTATTATCTATATACGTATATCGAAACCAAGTCGGTTGTAGCGACATGACCTTTTCAACGACCTTGTTTCCTCTAATTTCCTTTTCCCAGTTAGCCTCCTTTGCGGCCGTCTTTCGAAAGACGGCTGCAAAGGAGACTATTTCCCAGTAAGAGCTTCCCGTTTACGCGGAAAAAATTATTGGAGGAACTCTAGATCGTGTCACATTTTTTCTAAGATGCTGTGTGGTATTTTTTCACTCTACACTTTGGTTTCGTTTTCCCAGACAGAGGAACTCTTAAACGCGCAATGGTTATTCAAAAAAAAAAAAAAAAAATGGTGACTTGCAACTGTAGTTTCTATATTTCACTTTCGTTTATATGTTTGTTTTTGTCGATAGAATTAGGAATCTCAAAAACGACAGATTTGTAAGAAAATATGAGATCGATGACTAGCGATAATTTCCTAATGCCACGTTCGCAGGTTTCTTTCATTCGCTCTGACGAAGGGCTAACGCTCGAAACGTCAGCTTTTTTATTCGTTACGGTGGCCAATTTACAATTTCATCTTAATTGATATAACCAAATTACCTTGTTACCCCCACCGACGCAGCACCACAGTTTCTTTAGAAACTTTCAGCCTTTCTTTTTTCTTTATTGCCAAGACTGAAATAAAGTCGAGGCCTGAATCATTGAATGACGGCTAACAAGCGAGTACAATTTTCTTACCCCTTCCCCGTTCACTTCATCTATGTTTTTGTAATGGCTGTACGTTTTCGCTCAGCCCTTTCTTAGAAGATCTCCTCATATCGTACGATTGGCTTATTACCACTTTTGTTTTGAAACTACTCGACAACAATCGGGTTCGATTATCAGCCGCTGTACGGAAATGGGCCCGCGCTCCTTCCCTAGAAACGGCGGAAATCGGGTCTTATCAAAACTGGAAGCCACACTTTCGACCATGGAAAGGTGATTAGATTCAGCTGTAGATCTCAACAAAATTTCTTCAATTCGCCTTTGCGGCAAGGTATTAAGTTTTTTCGCTGAATAATAGTGGTGTCGGAAATAAACTTTGACTGTAAACATGTTCAAGGTTTGATGTTCGTGCAGATTCAACTCTACATGCAACATTATTATACAGCCAGTTTTGTAACCGCAAAGAAAAATAACCTAAGCATTGAAGAGTTGTTGTCAGCGAATATTTTCGATCTATCAACTCATTTTTTTGTTTATTCTCCTCTTATTCTTGATAGGATTTTCTGACAAAGTTTGGTTACCTGATGAACGATGACCCAAGAACGGGAACGTTGAGATCACAAGCAGATTTAGAGAAAGCTATCAAAATGCTTCAAAGATATGCCAACTTGCCAGAGACTGGGAAGATGGATGCAGCTACTATTGCACAGATGGGTAAATCTCGTTGTGGTGTGGCAGACTACGGGAATTATAACTCCGATAACACTCGACGAAAGAAAAGATATACTTTACAAGGATCGTCTTGGAAGAAAAGGGTAGGTCAGTTTTCGGTTCAAAGAGAAGGAAAGTAGTGATTCTGTGTGAATGAAGGGGAGCGGAAAAGGAAGGCAGTCGCAGCTTTCTCGTTCAGTGTATAGGAGAAAGATAAAGAGCGTATTCTCGACTAATATTTGTCATGTTGTACGCCGTAGGAAACTACCGTTAAATCGGAGGAAAGCGCAACTGTACACATAAAAAAATTAGTTGATTAGAAAATACACACACAAAAAAACTTAACTAATAATTGTACACTCCCACTGACTAATGGGAGAATTAAGCAAATTTTGATTTCAAAAGAGCTGGAGAATCATTAGTTTCTCGATTGTACCATTAATCAAGACTACTTTATTTTTCTTAAAACAAAAAATTAGAAACTCTTGCTCGTAAAATACGTCTTCTAGAGACTTCGTTTGAAGTCGATTTAATACTAAAATTTTTCCTTTGATTTTATTAGGATCTGACATACCAGATTAAATCTTTCACAAGAGACATTAATAGCCAAGAGACACAACGTCAAATATTTAAAAAATCTTTTGATCAGTGGAGTGCTGCTACAAATCTTAGAATCAAGGAGGATCGACACGCCAACGAGAAAGACGTTGATATTCATATCAGTTTTGTGAACGGGTGGCACAACGACGCGTATCCGTTTGATGGACAGGGTGGAACATTAGCGCACGCTTTCTACCCACACAACAACTTGGGTTAGTATACAAACAAACAGATAAAAAGAAAAAAAACATTTGTTTGCATTTTGATGGATGAGTGTCGTCAAACGAATACCAAAGTTATCACATCTGGCCATCAGAACAAAGGAAAAGTGTAACAATGACGACTCGGCCAATGAGAGCTCGGACTAGCAAATCTAATTACAGTAATCTTCATCTGTTTTATACAGGACTTTCGGGTGATGCACATTTTGACGATGCGGAGAAGTTTACCACAGGGACAAGTGCCGGTATCAATTTGGATTGGGTGGCTATTCACGAGTTTGGACATGCTTTAGGTCTGGAGCATTCCAATGTGCGAGAATCTATCATGTACCCGTGGTACAAGGGCTATGTGCCTGATGTAAAGCTCACTAAAGATGATATCCTGGGAATACAACAGCTTTATGGTAAGTGGCCATAAATGTTTCCTTAAAGCGCAATTCCATGATAATTGATGTTCAGCCATGTTCATCCACAATCAGATTGATCATTACTACTAATCTGAATAGGAAAAATATGACGAGAAGCCAGTAAGAGCTCAAAGTATGAAGTTTCTGGTGGTTTAGTTTTTCATTCGACCATGGTTGAGAGAAATGCACGATCGGGTTTTCCAAACCAAGACACAGTTATGATAGTAAAAACATCTACATACAAGAATTACTTTTGTTGCTCAACTGAGAGTAACTAGAAGTAAGCGTTTGTTATTTAAAGCAAAATCAATTAGTAATGACGGGAGCTAAAGGTGATGAGTGTCCCATCCGAGAATACCACTCTTTCGTTTATTATTATTTTTAACTAATTAGTGCCTAAGCCATGACGCAAAGCAATATGTTTCAAAACCTAGCCATGCTTCGATGGATCAAAAGTGACGTTGTCAGCTTTTTTTTTTTTTTGACTGGAGATTCTAACTTTATTTTCTCCAGGAAAACCCATCCATAAACCAGGCCCCACAGATGGCCCAGGTGCGACACCAGCACCAACAACCACTGAGCCTATGCTCCCTGAGGAAAATGATGTTTGTTCCATTCCTTCATATGACACGTTATTCATGGGCCCTGACAAGCGCACATACGCGCTGAAGGGAACTCAATATTGGATCATCAAAAGTGCTTCGGGTGCAGGCTTGGAGAGTGGACCTCACAAGGTCAAAGACCTGTGGAAGGAACTTCCTAATAAGATAGACGCTGCCTACGCCTTAAGTGGTAACAGGCTGATTTTCTTCAGCGGATCCAAGTGAGTGTCTTTCATTAGATAAGCTGTATCTACTTTCCGCCATAAACTTCTATTCGATTCCTGGAATTCTGTGGTCTTTTTCGCAGTTGCATGTTCTTTCAATAGGCGACGAGCGTTTTTTCAAGCTTGTCCTTTAAAAAAAAACACACTGCAATCCAAAAGTTAAAAAAGCGTTTTCAGTGCGTGTCACTGATCATTACTGAGTGTCGTCACGGTTTTTCGTTGCGGCAACATGACTTTTCCATCGTAAAAATTTCCTTATTGGGTGACCAATTCCTGTCTTTTGTACCTTTTCCCTGATTTCAGAATGATTGTTTGATATCTGGCCACAAGAATCTGTCATTAAATACCTTCGTGTGAGGACATGCTAACTTTTCTCCCCGTTATGTGATCGTTATAAACATGAAAGCTCGGCTAACTTTGCTAATTTTGTCGTTTTCTTATTCTGTTTTCTCCTATCAAGCTACTGGCGTTATTACTACGACAGTAAGCGTGATACATACAGAATCGAACACAGAGAGCGTATTATCACAGAAATGGGGCTACCAATGGATTTAAAAGACATGGACGCTGTCTTTACCTGGGGAAGAAACGGGAAAACGTATTTCTTTAAAGGAGACAAATATTGGCGCTACTACCGCGGCTCGATAGATGCAGGCTACCCAAGGAGTATCAGAGTTTGGGGAGGGGTGCCGGCAAATTGCAATTCTGTTATGAAGTGGAGGAACGGCAAAACTTACTTCTTCAAAGGATCGCAATATTATAGACTCGATGATTGGAAGATTGCAGTTGAGGCTAATTATCCCAAGAGTATAGCGTTGAAATGGATGAGATGCGAGAAAGAGAACCTGGCCTTAGAGAAAACCACTGAAACAGGCGTGGTGGTGAAGGGAGTGCACGGGACACGGGGATACCCGTGTGAACATGATCATGAAGTCTCGTCTGGGTCAGCGGTCTATCAGAGTGCTTCTACGCTTTGTTTAGTAGTTTTGGCTTTTCTTAAACAGAACTTTTAATTTGGAGTCATTTTTGTGTACCGGCATAGATAATTGACTTCCAATAGAATTAAACTCTGAAATGATGTCAAAGAGGCCAGGTCATCCAGGTCTTCCAGGTTCTGAGTTAGTGGAGACGAGCGAAGGTGGTCAGGAAATTATAATTTATTGCATTTGCTTCCATCATTTTTTGTGTGCATGCCAACGCAAGATTTTCTAAATTCTTCGTGCTCTTAGCTTCCCTAATAACTGAGGCAGTTGGTTTTTTTTTTTTTTTTTTTTTTTTTTTTTTTTTTAAAGTTAGACCGTTTATAATTTTTTATGTAGTGCAAGTTATATTTTAATTTTGTCTCTGTTGTACATAGTTAGGAAAGGTGAGAAGCTTTTCAAATTGTAAAAATTATTTTAATGATGAAAAGAAATATTGAGCAAAATGATTATCCATTAAACTGAGAAGTTTCTTATGAAAACCGCATGGCGTAAAAATGATTGGACGTGTAATTTATTCTTAAATAAATATAGATTTGAATGGTTGATGTTTTATATCTTATTTTCTTATATTAGCTATACTGAATCTATAGATTATTTGTAAAAATATAAATTCAGTTTATGAATGAAGATTGTCACCACTTATGGTTATATTTTAAAGTTTAGAGGTTTTTTAATAAATTTTTTTTAACAAAATGTTTCAAAGTACTTGAATCACCTGTAGTATGTAAGAATATTTTTTTTGGCAAAGGTGGGGTGGAGGTATTTACCCTTACCCCCCTACTTTTTTCTCTTTTTTTTTTCTTTGATTTCCAAAAGATACAGAATAATCAAGTTTTGTTGTCAAACCAAAACAGCCCAACAACTTGGTTAGCCATAGTCCAAAGTTAGTAATTTCCGCCTAATTACAGCCACTGTGTGAAAAATAAAACTCCTGAAAAGCATTTTTATCTATTTTTTAATTACTTCTTCAATATGTGCAAAAGTTGTTAAGATAAGTTACCTTTTTTGCTAGAGGTTCAAGGCGAAGAGGAAAAAAGAAAGTAAAGAGTAATATAAACCAACAATAGCTCTTTGTCTTGTGACCCTTGACTGATCAACCTCTAAGGTTCTAACCCTCACTGCAGGGTATGCTGGCAGGTGAAGAGGCCGTGAGAACTCCCTCATTCTGCCTAAATGCAAATGCATAGCCCAAAGTCTTTGCCAAAGTAAAATATTTCACTGTGTATTTAGCATATTGAATGGTGTTCTTTTGTGCCTAACACCTTGTACATGGTGAAACTTTTGGCAATCATATGCATGGCCAAGGTGTAAAAAAGTATTTACAAAAACATTATTCAAACATTCTGTTTGAATATCCTTAATGTAGATGTGGTCCATATAAACAATATAAGAAAATCTGCAAATTTTTTTCTCTTAAACCCTCTTAGGATGTTAGTTTGGATAACTGGGTACTGGATCAACTAATCATTGAATCCCCTAACTGATAGTTTTCTATATTCTTATTACTTGTCTGCTTGATATTGCATTAATATTGTAAGGACAAATCCTTTCTTGCCTCTCTTAGTTGACTCATAAGAGCTCAAGGGTTAAAAGTGACTGACGTTTTGACAGCCTTATATAGTGGAAGTAATCACGAGTCAAGTGAGGTGTTGACTTCTGCTAGGGTTGTCAAAATGTTAGTCACTGATAGCGACCACAGCCGTCTCCAGAACTTACAATAAAACTAATTGATCAACTGTTACTCTTAGGCTCAAATCATTTACTGTTGTATTGATTAATTATGATCACAATTGTAGTATATAAAAAATGCATGTAATATTGACTTGTTCTCTCAGTCTAGAGCTTCACCAAAAACCACAACAGAGGAATAAACAGTGATAACAAAACTAAACAGTCCTTAAAACTGCATTTTTACTTGTGCCTAATTAGCAACATTTAGAGTACATGCTTTTTCTATCTGACAAACACTGTAAGCATTTGAAAAATACTTTAAAAGTTTTCTGGATTGAAAAAGTTTTTCATGAAATGCATGCCACATAAATGTAATAACATCATCATCTGCTGAAAAGCTGTCTGAGCTACCAATTAACAAGAAAAGCCAACAAGTCATTTGAATTGGTAGCTGTGCCAATATCTACTTCCTGTATGAAATAAAAATGAAGGGAAATCATTAAGAATAATCATACTACTGGTAATATCAAATAAATGATATTTTAAAATTAATAATTATAAAGTACAGTAAAAGTGTGACTTAAGCTAATAACCATCAAATGCTAATTGTTTTTCAGGGACTCATTTAAATATGCGTGACCTGAAAAAACAACCACCATGGGTTCCCAAATATGTGAAACTTGTCTAATTAGAAAAATTGAAAACAAAGTTACAATTCCCTGACCTCCTCAACCTTAAACTTCTTTAATATAAAAACTTTAGTTCCCTGCAGAAATTTCAGTCATCTCAGACAGCAAAAATATCTAAGTTCAACAACAACAGAAAGACTCCCAATCTGCAAAATTTCATACCACAAAGTACTGGGCGATTTTTCTAGGGTTGGTAACGGTTGATCTCCAAATCAAATAATTCTATCCTGCTTATGATTATATCAAAACACACATGGATTAGGTACTCACTTTTGTTTTAGCTGAAGCAGCTTCTTTGGAATCATTCTGCTCTTTTGGGAGTGAAGATTTGCTAGCAGCTGATGACTGTGGCATCTCAGACTCAAGATTTAGTTTATTTGCATCTCTCTTTCCCAGCATCTCTGTGGCTATGCTCAAATGATTTTCTTTAGGTGGTGTATCCGTCAAAGGACTTCCTCTATTTTCCTTTGAACATGTCTCAGATGCAAGATTTATCTTGCTTCCTTTTGATGGTGTGTCAGACAGCAAATTTCCTGTATTTAATCTAGGAGGTGTGTCTGATGCAAGTCTACCTTTACTTCCTTTAGGTGGTGTATTTGATATAAGACTTGCCTTGCTTCCTTTAGGAGGTGTTGATGCAAGGCTCCCTTTTCTTCCGTTGTGCAGTGATGAAGACAAACTACCTTTACTACCTTGAATGCTACTAGCAGGGCTATACTTCTGACCCTCAAGAAGAAACTCCTTTCGAGACAGAGGCTCTGAACCAGGCAAACTCCCACTTGTGCTTGTGTCTTTTGATTCAGTGTCAGAATCATGCTGTTTCTTTGATTTAACCTCTACTGGTACAGTCACAGTACTTAGTGTTTCTAGATCAGCTTCCAATGCATGTTTTAGTTGTTCCTCAAGCTCTCCCTCTTCTAGTAAATGAAGATCTTGTTGGCTCTAAAGATAATTGGAAAGAGAAATCATTGTGTTGAATTTGGCAACAACTCCTCCTAAAAAAGCTGGTGAAACAAGCAAATTAACATTTCATTATGAGCAATGCAGAAATAAAAAAGGAAAAACAAGCATATAAGAGCTTATTTATAGCTCCTAACTTTTAGAATCAATGGGCCACAACATGCTTTTGAAACAACAGCCATGAAGTTGTATGTAACTCTGACGCATTTGTAGCCTTTTTGTGATCAATCAGCTCCTTGTATTGCAATATGCTCTTATCATTATGATAATATTTGAAATAACCCATATAGAAATGCTTGTTACAAAATATGCACCAGTAAGTGGGTTGTACTCATTTTGGGTCTAGTAAATAGTTTTGAGGCACAGCATTATTTTTTTGCTTACACACCAGCATTCCTAATCTCTGGTAATGTATTTGAGATGTCAATTTCACAGCGTGATATCAACTTTTTCAAGATGACATGCTGGTTGATGAAAATGATCAAATTTAGCCAAAGTCTGGGGCGGATCCAGGATTTAGTCAAGGGGGGTTCGGAGAATTGTCTGTGGGCATGCTCCCCCGGGAGATTTTGAAAATTAGGCCTTCAGAAACATGATTTCCAGCATTTTAATGGAAAATTTAAGGGGTTCAAACAAACCACCCCTGGATGCGACTCAGAAAGTGACAACAACCAATTACTTGCCCCTTAAATACATTCCAAAATACTAGAAAGCCCTTGATACTTTGGCCACCACACACATATTTATAATCTGTACTTTATTTATTTTATTCTGTAATCATTTGTTGCAACTTTACTTTACTATCTATGTTAATTTTATGTAAATAGTACGTGTGAAATAAATGAACCAATGAACCAATGAACCAATGAACCAATGAACCAATACAGATTGCAAACAAATGCATTTATATGAACACTCACTCGCGTTTCCCAGGACCATGGAGAAGAAAATTGATCTTTGGAATGGATTTCCTATTAAAATAACAGAACAAAATAAAAATGCTAAAAAAAAAAACAAAAAACAAAAAAAAAAACACATCAAGTACACCATCACACAAGACACAATGAATCCTTTGCATTTAAAAGAACCACCTGATTCTTCAAAACATTAGGAGAATACAATACAGGTACCTGTTAAAATGTATAGGTATACACCACATGTATATTAGTAATAATTGTTAAGAATCTAAAAAATTAAAATACATACATTAATGCTAATAAAATAACAACTAATAAAATAGATCATGGCCTGGATACCTATGCACGTGTTCATATGTTTGTATAAAAGGTGAATGTACTGTTGTTTAAATAGGATAATAGGAAATTGAGCTTGGTTTTTGTGTCAAGAACATTCATAATCCACAGGTCTGGGATTTGATTCCTCATAAATAATATAAGGGGGTGTGGGTTGGGGGGACTCGTACCTTTTTCTTTTAAAATATTCGTGACATAAAGGAACTACAACTTTCCTTATTCCATGACTTTCTTATTCCATTAAGTTCTCATAAGGATTTTACATGCAGTTGTAACATGCATGTTAAAACATGTTTAAACCCTGCCAGGCATCCAGCTTAAGAAGTAAACTTTTGGACCCTGCAGTGGCATGTACTGGTGGGTTTTTGCACTTACAACTACTGGAGAGCTAAGTTCATAATCAAGTTCTTTACATTAGTTTTATGTCACATTCACAACATCATCATACAAATGCTTGCCAGTCATCATAAGTTCAACTTTCACAGGCCATTCTAGACCTCCAGTAGGTGTGCCCTAAAGTTTAGCCTTAAAACTGTATGCTTGTGAAAAAAAAAAAAAATTCAATAAAACTATGATGATCATCCATCGATACACCTTTCCTTCGTAAGATGTAACCCGGCCTATATAAATTATAGCTCATGACACGTGCATTAAATGCACACTCCAAAACACGCGAAATATAATCAAATTAACTGACTATGTCATTATGATCAAAACTCAAGGAACTATCTGCTAACAAGTAAAAGTTTCTACAGATGACAAGTAATGCAGAGTAATAATGTTGGTGAACAAGCCTAACGTTCATATCACTGTGAGCAAGATATTTCGCTAGCAAAAAACCCTGTATCATGTTTTACGAAGACATATGAAGAAAAGTTGTTTTCAAAACGTTTACAACAACCACACCCAAGCTTTCTTTAGTTAATGAATCACGCTTGACGATCGAACAGCGAAATGTGACGGTTGAAGCGACTAAAAATAGAGGAATTTATAGGGTATATTCGTCACCTTCAGCATAACAATTGATAAGTAAAGCGAACACTTGTTTCCTCTTTGCACCTAAACAAGTGGACATGTTTACTAGAATAAAAAACTTGAAGATAAAACACAAAAAGCTCACCGTGACAGATGTTATGCTATCTCTCGGGTTAAAATTACTCGGTTCTTCGGACCCTGAAATTCCATGGGCCAACCTCAACACTGGAAACCAATCTGGCTTTCTCGTTGAAAATGAATCGTCTAAATAATAATGTTTTTTCACTCCGGGACTAACCATTCGTTCATCTAAGAGTTTATCTTGTTCGTCGGGACTTAAATTATCCCATTTGTTGCCATGTTCGGCCATCACTTCGCGTTGTTCAGTGATGATTCTCCGACTCATATGATTCAAAGACTCGAAGTAAGAAAGAACGTATTCATTCATGTTTTCGACGCCACCAACATACTTGTTTTTCGGTTCAAAAGAACACTGCATGGTTGGAATTTTCTGTTCATTCGTTGTCTCGTCTACGATTGACTCCTCCATTTCGTCGATTCTTTCAGCAAACGCCTGTTCTATGGCTGCGGCCACTTCCGCTTTAGAGATAATGCCCGCCATGTTTACTAACTATCTTGACTCTGATTAATCTTTGTTCTAAAGTTGATTTTGATTGGTTCGACTGTAAAATCTAGCCAATCAAAATGGGTGTATTATCATAAGAACAAAAAGCGCGCTGTTAAATTTAAAGGCAACAGCTGAACCAGACTTCAGCATTAACAGAGCAAAAGTATGTAGTTCCTTGAAATTCGAAACTGGTGTGGTCCTTCCATTACTTCCCTTCCATTGCCTTAAGTTGCAGCAATGGCGCTTGTTCTCAACAGAACACGAGAATGAGTGAAAACCGCGAATATGCAGCTACTGCTGCTGTGAAAAATCGCCCCAAAGATTTCACTTCCGGTTACAAAACGAAGATGACGATTGCTTTTACGACGCTTTTGGTCGCAGTAGTTGCTGTTTTTGTAGATCGCTTTGTCTTAATGCGAATTCAACGCCAGATTTTAAAAACAGCAGTTGATAGCGAAGCCGGCTTAAGATTTGATGTGGTTGATGAGAAAGTATTAAGTCTGTTTGTGACATTCGATGAAAACTTGGACGGGGTTCTGGATTTGTCGGAATTTATCCAAGTTGCGAACAAAATTTTGCATCGAAAAGTAAGTACTCTTGTTTTTATTTTGGGTAGAAACTCAAAGAGATTTGTTAGCGGATACAGGCAGAATGATCTTAATATTAAACAACAAATATATATGAAATACATATATATGAACTGCGGTTATGAAACGTATATGTGCACGATCCTTCGCAGTAAAGGTGATGGCCTGCTCCCAGTTGGCTTGTTAGCTCAATTGGTAGAGCGCTGCTCTAGTATCGCAGAGGTCAGTGGTTCGAATCCCGTACAGGCCTGAATTTTTTTCAGGTCTGATTTTCACTATTGCTTAAATAGTGCTTTACTGCGAAGGATCGTGCACATATACGATCTTAATATTGTGTGGGAACGCGAACACGAGGATCTTGCCGGCTGACTTAACAGGATGTTGTTGAGTTAGATAGCACGAGTAATCTCTCAGAGGGAATGAGTAATTTACAAGGAAATATTAAGCAACGGTTAATCCTAAGGATTAATTGAAGGGTGAAATGTTAGAAATACATGGGGAAGCTTTACAAAATCTTGAACTAACAAATGTGACAACATGATTTATACCTCAAACAACTACAACAATTAACATGCAGTGAAGTTCCTTGAATGTTGTAAACAGTTCCTTTTGCTTTGTCTGCTCAGTTATTTAGAGTGACAGCAATGCTGGTAATGTACCTAAAAGAACAAAAAAGTGATTAGAAAAGGCAAAGATGTGACACAATCAGCTATAGGCAGGAAAAACCCTAACAATCCTTGCACTCTCCACAACAGAGCAAGTTGTTTGACAATAATGACTTGCTTTTATCACAATATCAATTGCAACTGTTGCTATTATAGAGGATCATTTTGGCTTAACACAAATACAACATGAATTCACAAGCAAAGAGTTGAGGGGTAAAGCCTGATATGGGTGTAAGGCATGGTGTTGTGGATGATTTAAGAAACAATTCTTAATATTGTATCATGTAATGAAAACTAATGGATGGTTTTGTTGATGTGTTGCAATTGGCTGAGGATTGAAATCAGTTTGTGCAGCAAAAAGTAAGAATAAAGTTGAGAGTTTGAAATTTGTTTGAAGGAAGTTTGAAAATTTAATACAATGTACTCATATTGGGTCTATAGTTACATCTTGAAAAGCAAATAACACACAGAAGCATGTGAGAAATAGGTCATTAATTATACGTATATAATTATAAGAATTTACTCTATATCTGCATACTTAGTTTCAAGGGTGTATCATGGAATCTCAAAATAAGTGGAAGCACCTGCTGCTCTGATATTCTGTATTGTTACTTAAATGTAGCACCTCCCATGATATTTGTTAATGAGACAATCACAAAATTTAATGCACAGAGTATTATCATTCCTTTAGACATTTTGTGAAGGTTTTCCTAAGAGGTTATTTACATGTAGGTTGGCTGGAGAGGTTTGGAAGGAGAGTTGGTAGACATAAAGGGAGGGACTTGTGGTACTCGGGCCACGGTGAATTCAAATGACACTTAATTTATAAACTGAATAAAATTTATCAAATTCATAATGCAAATTAACTCCAGAATAATTTATTCCAGAGTATAGTTATAAAATATAAATATAAATAAGGAAACATATGTTTTGTGAGCTTGACTTAACTTTACTCTCTCCCTTTTATGCTGCAAAAGATAATAGCTGGTTTCCTTTTAGAAGGGAGACATGCCAATACTCCTTCAAACACTGGTGGGGGGGGGGGAGATTTGAGGTTGAAGGGTCTGGGGAAGACCCCCTAACCCATCAGACTTGAGTTTGTTTTTTTTTTTTACAACTTGTCAGACACCAAAATTCTTGGAAACGCAGGGTTGCATGCCAGTACTACACTGTATGAAGAATGTAAGATTTGATTGTCTTGCAATGTTTCCTTGCTAATTTTGCCTATAGAGGTAAAGAAATGTGTGTTTTCTGAATCAAATTAATGGGACTCCTAATATCAAAACTAATCCTACAGTACCCATCCTTAGACAGTAGTTGCTTTATGCCTCTGAAATTAGTACGAGTCCCAGAATGGATAGGTTGGCCTCTATATTTTCTAAAGGCGGGGATCACCACTAGACCCTTATCAGTACCCCATACTGCTGTTATCTAAGGTGCTGACAAGGAGAATTTGTTTAACAATTTATGAGCTCCTTTGGTTGGTGATAATTTCCTTTATTCTCCTGCATGACCTTAATAATAGTAATTATATACTGTAATAGTAATAATTATAGTAATAATAGTAATAGTAATCAAAGTTTAATATCTTTACGTGGGGTATGGTTACCCATATTGCCCGAGCCAGAGGTTGTTGTATCAAACCCAAGACAACAACCCAGCCATCCCAGCCCAGGGGAGGACATCCATCACACAGTAATCTCGTGCGTGGGAAATTAACGTCTCCTACCCCTAACCCTGCAGGAGACGGGACCTCCATTTATTCTTCCCTATCCGAGAAGACTAGAATATCTAAACCATTTCTTGATGTTATAGAAAGGCAGAATATTCTTCTCAATTATTTTAAGACCTTGAGTGTTGGTCTGGCCGCGGCTCGAACCCTCGACCTCCCGCACATCAGTCCAGCGCTCCATCCATTAATTGAGCTATAACCGGGAGGTGGTTATAAAGGCGGTTTTTAATGTGTGATTCAGGGGTGATATTGTAAGCGGAAATTAGATGCTAGTCACTGTTAAGAGTCAAAGGGTTGAATTTTATGTTTTTAACCCAGAAACCAGCTGTAGAAGAACCTCATCAAGAGAAGGTAGCTGACAGCAGTAGTGATACTTCCGGACCAGATGTGACTTACATGGCTGCAACAGAACAGTTGACTGTAAAAAGTAATTTCACTTCTCTGGTGCTGACCTCAATGACCAAGTATTCTGATGATTCTTCAGGGTTTGATGTGAGTATTATTTGTAAAATTTTTATAATGACTTAAAAATACAGATTCCATGATCCAGTTAAGCAAGTCATGCAGGTACATGCTGTACATTATACAATTTACGACATGCTGATAAATTAGATTTTTTTTTTATTTTGAGTTTGCTGAAAAGTTTAAAAAACCATTTGGAAATGTCAGTTATACATTCAACCATAAACATATTTATACAGACTGGGTAATAATTTTGACCTTTTGAATTTCTGTTTATGTCATATACTAATTGTACGATTGTTTAATGTGAATTATGCTAATTAATAAGTTAGACTATGAGCAGTCGGTTCTTTTTTGGGAAGTCATTAGTAAGAGCAAGTAAAAAAAAAAATCAGACATTTGTGTACCATGCAGAACTCTAGGAGTGATTAGGCACACAAAAAATTGATGTAATGGTACAAAACATGAACCTCACTCCTAGAGGTTCACACAGGGTACTTTAAAGGTCAATTTTTTTTTCGTTGATTTTTTTTTTTTGACTTGCGTGACAGACCTTGCAGAACAGGAAGGATCGACTATTTATTTATGTCTTATTAACCAAGCGCGAGGGCTGTACTGGGAAAATATTGGCTCGAGGTCTTGATAGTATGGACCGAGCGCATCGAGGTCCGTACAAAAAAGACTGAGGGCCAATATTCTTCCATTACGGTCCCGAGCAAGCTTGGTTAATAAGAGATTTATTATAAGACTGAAGTTCAAAGGGACACAAGTGCGGTATCATTCGGAACCATTTGGGACAGTGCCCGGTCCAATACTTAGAGAATATTGGACCGGCAATAGAGCATTTTGATTGGTTGATTTTAGTTATTGGCCCTCTGATTGCCCGAGTCGTGTAATAATTAAGAGTACTGTAGGTTATGCTTATCTTTAGTTGTTGAAACAAGGTATCTGACTCTGTGCTTGTAAGTTGCAACAAAATAATCTGTTGAACTGAGTCGTAAGTTATCAACTTGGGTAAATTTGTTTTCTTAGGGAAATGAACGTGAAATACAGGGACTAAAGTCATGGAACACTTCTGCAGTTCCCATAGCAACATATTCTGTAGATGAATTTAGAGCATTTTTACCTTACCCAGTCCTCAAACTGCCATTAGGCCAATCATGGTACATTGTGGAATCTAGAATGGATAAAAATGGTACCGTATGCCCATTTCTATTTTTAATTACCTTTTATTAATTATAAAATTGATAAATTGATCAGAAGTAGAAAATGATGGCGGTAGCTGTTACTGGTTGCATGGCTGAGAAGATAATATTGATTTATATGAAGTTTGACTCTGATAATAGAATGAAGCAGATTGATCTATTTTGTTCATTTGGAGTTGATATTATTCAGTAATAAAAGTGGCTGGGAAAACCTCCATTCAAATAAATAAAAAGATTTATTTTAATATTTTATCAATGTTATTTTTTTTAGGAAAGATAACCCCTAATTTCCTTGATTGTTCAAGATGTCACGTGAACTTTCAAAAATGATTTTCAGCAATACTGCTTGATATCAAAAACTTTTTTTCCTGTGACTTATGATAAACTCTATTATTTTCAGCTAATCAAGGTATGATGCTGGGTCTCCAAATCAAAAGCAACTTTGAAAAATGCTGAGTTTGGGATCAGACATTAGTTAGGCAATCTGCCTCTTCTCTTTTTCTTTGTCCTCAATTCTAAATCCAGTGTCCCATGAAATATTGTCACAAAATGTAGCAAGTAAATCAAAACTTCATTATACCCTGCTGTGCAATTCTTATAGTCATAAAATGATATATTTAAATGCACAGGTCCAGGTTTGACCAGCAGTAGACATTACCCTACCCCTGTGAAAGGGAGACTGGCCATTTTGTACAAACTGCTGAGCATGTTTCATCCAAGGCCATTTCTATTGACCAGGTTTGGTCCACAAGGAACAGTTGCCTGTGTCCGAGCAGAGAGCAATGACTACTTGGATATTGTTTTCAGGTTTTCACTTTTTTTTTTTTTTCTTTTTTGTTGTTTATATGGAAAGTCCACTCTTCTGTCTGGGTTGAATTTCAAATAAATGGCCTTTGAAAATCAAAAAGCAATTTTTTCATACTCAATGGCCCTACACAACATCAAGAGCTTATCTCACAAAGTACTACTGAAGATATAGACAGGTTTTGAATTGATGCTATATTCTTGTTCAGCAGAGCTAGATTTGGGACCAAGAGATTTTGAACCACAAACTATTAAATGAAATACTCCTCTCAAGTTTCAATAAATTTTCCTTTTAGCAATCAACAGCACAATAAAAACAAGTGAAACGTGGCTTAAAATATTTCATTTAATTAAGTAGCCAATAATTTGATTGCTCTGGCTGGTAATTGAACAAGTCAAAAGTTGAATTTGTTACTTTAGTTAAGTCACTACAGAATTAAGGGTACAGGTGTCTATTAGGTTTTATAGCATGAGTAATCAAATGTATTGAATAATTCCTTCTGGATAAGACTGTTTTGAACTCTATGAAACAAGCTGAATGATTTGGGAAAACTGGCGGAGGTGTAGTAAAACTCATTTTACTTTAGGCCAGGCCAACTCGCAAAGGTGGCTAGAGGCAAACTTGGAATATTGGTTCATGTTTGTTACTAAATGCTTAAAGGGTATTTTTACTTTCCTTTTGCCAGGATACATGCCGAGTTTCAGCTGAATGAACCTCCTTTAATGCCATTCTGGTTCACTCCTTCGCAGTTCTTGGGTAATATTGTGATTAAAAGGGATGGGAGTCATGTGGAGTCTTTTCATGTGGCTGTACCTAATAATAGAAGTTTAAATGTGGGTGAGTACTTTTAGAGAAACGAAGGTTAATTGTAGTGTGCTCATGTTTTAACCCACAATAACATAATTTACACCTTTAAGTTAACAATCAAATAGAGTAGAAGATCCCCACACCAGTGGTGCGCAATGAAACAAGAATTCCTCTGGGCTGCATGGCTCCAAACTGGTACCTCTGACGCACTAGTTCAATAAACAGCAGAGCCAGAGTTCTTCTTTGCAGGGTACGTCAAGCGAGGCTCGACTGTCGAGCCAAACTATGCAAAAACCAGGAGCGACGGAAACTTTGCCTCACTCTACAGTTTTATTTATGATTACTTCCCATCATGTACTGCCGGAATGAAAAATTTTCATCAAGAGGGAAAGCGCAAGGCCTAATAATTATTTGGTTAGGGAATTTTGCCACTAGTTTACACATCAAAATATCAGTTCCTTTTATTCTGAAGTGGATGTAGCTCATTTCTAATACAAGTAATAGTTCAAGTAAATTGTTCGCGCGGCATGTATTACTTTTAAGTTCTTTGCTACAAGAATTGTATAACTTTAAAAGTATGCTATATCTCTCGTGTAATTTAGATATGGAATGGCTTGTTTCCACTGTAGAAGAAGAAGACACAGGTATACCGAAATACTCCATAATATTACACATCATTGTAATCGACCATACCAGAGGCCAAAAACGAGAGTGCTTTTCGACTGCGCGCCGTATTTAAAGTCGTATGAGGACTTTCGATGCAGTGAAAAACGAAAATCGGAGTCGTGAGCGGACTCATAAGCTTGACCGGGAATTAGATTCGGACAAATAAGCGTGGTTTTATTTTCTTCATTCCGGTTACAACTCTGACGCTGATGATCCAAGGAAAAGTGTCAAAAAAGTTAGATTGTCCGAGTCGCTAGCAGAAGCAGAAGAACTGCTAACCAATCACAATCTTTATACCAGTTTTCGTATGCTTTTCAACTGGTTCTTGATGAAACCTTCCTTTGAAAATCTTGGACTGGCGCATGCACTTTAGAGCCTCGACACCAATAACCTCAACCCCAAATTTTCACCTTAGGCCTGACCTACGGAGCACTTGAATAGTCAAAACCATGTAATACGTATTCATTGAAACACACAAAATACATGTCCACCAGGAGCAAAGGGCATTTTCACTTGACAGAGGTAGTAAGTAACTAAGTTAGTAAGTGAGATCCTTTTTTTTTTTAAACACGATGAGAGTGGAAGCATTACATGCCTTAGGGGTCGTTTGTAACTGGCTAGTACCAAAGTAGCCTACAAGTAAACGTGGATAAAATAAATCAAATGAAAAGTCAGACTTAGAAGTAAATACATGGCAATGCAAAATGTACTTTCATCATTTTGTAGTTTCCTCGTAATGTTACTTTGTATTTTTTACCTAGACACAAGTTACGAGAGCAGTGAGGGGCCTGGGGACATGGAAGTAGACATTGGTTAGTAGAACTTTTTATGGTATAAAAATTGTGCGAATAAATGAAAGGTTGACAAATATGACTCCAGATATGTTCTTCCAACTCTAGTAAGTCTAGGGCAATTTTCAATTTACTGTCAGAAATAATTCAAGATCGCAGTGATTTTGCAAAATGTCCGTGATGTCCGTGATCGACGCAGAAAACTTACATGACCCTCTTAATCACTGAGATGAAAGACCGATAAAAACAAATTTCGATTTTGTATCTTGCGTTTTCCCACACTTTATCTAGACAGTTCGTTTGTTTTCGCTCTGAAAGTTCATTGGCTGCTTGGGTTAATTTTTTTTCATTCTGATTGGCAATTGTTGTTTTACCGCTCTCAATTGAAATTATTATACTCTCTCTTAGTAGAGTTTCACAACTTCTATGTATATATGTTTTTCTATATTCTGTCAATGATAACAAACTTTTCCCTCAGGGTTTCTACCCCAAATGGAGCTAAACAGTGTCATGCCTTCGATTCTGCCTGGTAATCAAGAAACTGTTGATGAGGCAAAATCCACCAACAAAACTATCAAATGGGACAAAGAGATTTCATTTGAGGAGGCTTACAAAGCGCTTGAAAATGCCTTCTACTCCTTTAAAGAGGTAAAATGTACAAACTCGCCTGATAAGAGTTTAGTTACTGGTTCATTAAAATTGACAAATAATCAATTACGTAACTTAGTAAATAAATAAGTGAATAAATAAGTGAATAAATACGTCATGAATTTTCAGAAAATGCTTGAAGAGTCTTCAAATGATAAGGTTTAAAGAAGAGACAATCTGTTTTAAAGTACGAAACAAACAACCTGTCTGATGCGCGGGAAAATCCAAGTTCACAAGTCGCGATTGGTTTTAGTTTTGAATCTGATTGGATAAGAAAGTGGTGCGAGTTTTCTGAACCAATCAAACAGCGAGGTAATCTCGCACCACTTTCTCAACCAGATTCAAAACTAAACCAATCGCGACTTGATAACTCGCATTTTCCCGCGCATTAGGCAAATTGGTTGTTTTTACTACGAGTTTTCGTTGGCTCTTTGAGATAAATTCCTTAGTGCAGATAGATCTTTGTGAACACCATGATTCCGGTTTTGTGACGCTTTATCGATAAAACGCTCTTACTAGCTCTTAGCTTTGTTGATGGGTTTAAGGACAAAAGCTGGCGCTAACGGACCACTGGGCTTCCAAGATTAAACAAGATGATTTGGTTTTATTAACTGAGTTGATATTGGGAAGTCGTTCTGACGAAGGGCTAACGCTCGAAACGTCAGAAACTCTTTCCGGTGGCTACACTACACTATCAACTCAGTTGATAAACCAAATTACCTTGATACACTCCCCCACCGACGCAGCACTGCAGTTTCTTTAGGAACTTACCCCCTCTTTCAAGATTTAAAGCTGATCTCCTCGATCTACATTCCAGGTTCCCTACGTGCCCTTTGAAGATGCACTCAGCAAGGCGAGAGAAGAAAATAAATTGGTTCATCAGATTCTGCTGTGGGGAGCCTTAGACGACCAATCATGCTGAGGTATAATCTTTAATCTTGTCCAATTTTTATTTTTTACCAAGGCGTTTTATTATAGTTATAACTATAGGTACCTTTAGGTGAAGGCTTTTTACTGGCGTGCTGTCACACGGTCACTTTCTTTCCTGGCGTTTTGCGGGTCTCACAGTCGCTGGTTAAATTGTCCTTCATTTCGATTGGCCGATTGTGATTTCTTTATTTTTGGTTATGCGTCATCCCCTCCCCCTAGAAAAAGTGCAGTGATTTGAGTGAATTGGCTCACGTTCATCAAATTGTAGTGCGACCTTAGGCGATTAATTTGCCTTGCATTTACAGGTTCGGGGCGGACTCTCCGAGATGGTCCGTTGGAGAGCCCGCCCGTGGTCCACATGTTGAAGAAGAAATTCATCAGCAGCTGGACACTTGTTAAAGAGCTAAAGGTTTGTAACCAACAATGTATAATGTTCCTAGAATGTGCACTGCTGTTCTCTTGACTGATTGTTCGCTGTTTCGTCTTTCCGTCTGTTCATTGGTTGTTTTTTGTTGTTTCTTCCCTCTTTCCCTCCTTCTTCGTTCGCTCGTTTGCTCTTTGGCGCGTTCGCTTTCTGCTCGTTGGCCCGTTTGCATGTTTGCTCGTTCGTTTGTGCATTTGTTTCCTCCTTCCTCCTTAATTTACTCGCTCGTTCTTTCGTTCGTTCGCTTGCGAGCTCATTCGTTCGTAAGTTCGTTCTCTCCTTCCTTCCTCACTGGTTTGTTCTTTCGTTCGTTCCCTCCTTCCTTCCTCGCTCTCTCGTTAGTTCGTTCGATCCAATTCTTACATGCTCGCTCACTCATTCATTCCTTCGTTCGTTCCCTCCTTCCTCCTTTTCTATTTCCTTCCATTCCCTTCCTAATTCGGCCACTGTTATTGGTTTCCCTGATTTCGACAATCTTTTGCTCGTCCATTCGCTTTTTGTATCGATCAGTAAATGTTTTGTCCCTTCGAACGCTTTTTATTCTTAAACTCGTCCTTTCATTTCTCTTTGCTTTCCTACGAGGTTTGTTGTTTGTCGGTTCTTTGATTCGTCCAGTGTGTTATTCGTTCGTCCAGTCGTTTTTGGTAGTTTAAGCCAATTTTTTTTATTTTACACCCAAATGTTTTCAGTTTACAATTTATTTTAAACTTCTGCTCAATAAATAAACTTCTTTTTTATTATCATTTCTATACGGAAATTCTAAGATTCTTTACTCGCTATATTCACAGGATATAGCGGCAAATGGTACCAATCTGGAGGTGACTAAAGCAGCTCAGGCACATTTGGATATTTACAAGTACGTTGGAGCGGTTCTCAGTACATATATTAGTCAACCCACGAGTCTTAAAGAACATCTTAAGTTCATAGCCATCGAATCACGTCCGTTGTTATATATTGGGGCAATTCTATTCACGACAGAATGAAGAACTTTCACAGATACTGTACAATACTCCCCTGAGCATAATACATACTTTGGAAATTACCTGCGTGCATCCATAACTCCGTATAAGCACGTAATTCTTAACTATTATTTTTTGTTAGATTCGCCGACAGGCAGAGACACCGCAAAAACTTGCGCCAATTACTGCGGGCGCAGTAAACGCACCAATCCCGCGAAGCCGGGGCCTTAAGTCCAGAAAGTGAACCTTGCGGTTCGCCTCCGCTTCATCCAATAAGTAAAAAAAAAAAAGAAAACAATTACTGGGATACTAGCCATCTCTACTCGAAAACGAGGAATCACTTTCAGATTAAGACTACGGGAGGGTCGGGGGTAAGTCTCTCAGGTTACTCTTCCCTCTAGGTATTTATGACGTTCTTGTTCCCCGAGTAGGAAATGTATTCTGGGGGATCTCACGCGCCATTAGGGTAGATAAAAACCAGACATGCACGAAAGTTTCTTACGGAATTGTTTTGCAGGTTTCCTGTCATGTCAGTAGTCTCTCTTCCAAACGGAACTGTATTGTCAAAAATGAATGCGAATGATTTGATGGAGAGCCAATTAAACGAAGAAATGTAAGATAACTGAATTTTTGTTTGATTCATTACTTTGCCCCCCCCCCTCCCCCCGAGAAACTCACAAGTGTAATTTTCGTCTAAATTTCACCATATTGAATATTAAAGCGATCCTCGCGTTGATGCACACAACTTAGGCAGCAGTGAAAATAAGGCTTGAAAAAATGAAATGTARGCCGACATCCCGTAAAGTTCTCGCAGAGGTCATGGGTTCAAATCCCGTACAGGCCTGAATTCTTTTAAGGCCTAATTTTCGCTAATGCTTCAGTAGTGTTCATTACTGCGAAGATCGCTTTCCTATTCATTTCTTAAACCGCAGTTCACATATATGATTTTCATATATTCACAGTCATTTACACCATATTGCACCCCTTTTCATGGACGGTCCAACAGCGACGCAGAGACGTGCACTGAGTCCTTTTTTAAGACAGACCGAAAGAGAGCCAGAATTATTCTAAGAACTAGAAGTCCTTGACTTTCATTTTATTGTTGTTTCCTCAGACTTCGTCCAGGATTTGATGATCTACTGTCATATATTTACTACCAGTTTCTAGAAAAAGGTGTCACTGAAGGCAGGACATTCAACTAACGTTATAGTCTTCAATTTTAACATTAAAAAAAATAAGACAAGTAAACGACTGATAATAGAAAAAGCTCCATCAATTCATGTAAGCAAATCTTCTCCGCATATTTTGATACGTGTTTTTCATACAATATCTCAATAGCAGGATTCAGGATTCGTTCATTGTACAGCTGGGATGTTCTCTATCGAATCAACTCTGTCTATTCAGAGGTTTCAGTAATTTTTTCCATGAGCAGCCGCTGACTGTGTAATAGGCAACTTCGCTCCCAGGGTCGCTCACCTTCCCGCCCTCTCTCGCTCTAGGGGGCGGGAAGGTGAGAGACCTGGGAACAAGGTTGTGCAATAGGCGGCCTTGTCCGTAAGAGGGCCGAAAGGCGAAATCCAAACACGAGAGACTGGGAGCGAAACAGACAGCAGTCAACCGCTGGTCACCAGTTCTTATCGAAACCCCTGCTACTTGGTGTCTGTCTCTTCCAGTCAACTATTGATTATTCAGTTTTATATTTTATATTTATTTAACAATTCTTTAAAAATACTTCAGAGGACCAAACTTCCTCTCGCGATCAAGCCAAATATTAGTAGTGTTGTTACAACTATTATCAATATTGATGTTGTTATCATTGTTGTTCATTCATGCTAACTCTAAATGACAACGGCTTTTCCAAACGCGAAACTTCGTGTGGAAGTTGTTTGATGCAGTGAGAAACTTGAATGAAACGAACACGATTCGTTTTGTAGTTTCGATTGTCGTCGTGTTACAGTTTTATACTACAGTTTCAAAAACCTTCATCAACATACTTGTATTTAGGGAGTTTATACATGTAGTAGAAGTATGAAATAAATTATTACAAAAATTTTGTAAAAAAATGCCTCATCACTGTAACTCTGCATTTGGAAGAGGGTTTGCGAACAAGGCGTCTCCATTTGTGTTCCATATCTTGTAGTCCGCCGATAAGAACTCGTATGCTACAAAAAAAAAGGGAGAGTACCCACAACGAGGAAATTAACGAGTGATACATGTTCAGTAAATGGCTTGATACAGTGAGCTGTAAACTGGGTCGTGTTCCCGAAATCGAGGCACATTGGCAAACTTGCGAAATGTGCTGAACGATTAAGTTTTTTTTTCCCGTGAATGCTACTTCTCCATCCCAATCGCAAATCCTTAAACGATTATGAGGAAACCCTCAAAGAATAGAAAAGCCAAACAAAACAAGTGAAACCCAATAGAAAACTTTGTTCACATGATTTCATTCATTTCACCTGGAAATCCGCGGAAAGTTTACCAGTTATCCTCAAGGGTATGTACTCGCCCGAATTTTCTGACCCGAATACACATACAGTGCGTGGGCCACCGAGTGTCCACAGCCCTATTCTCATGACTTTACAATTTTATTCAGGGGGGTGATAATGTTTGGAAATATTATATGCTAATCGCTTTCAGAATTTCAAGGGGTTTCCTCTTGCCACCATGAAAGCAAACAATGTTACTTACAGATGTTCAATTTGAATTTCCCTCCGGGATAAACAACCAGAGACCTGGGATCTATGGCACATCCTGAAAGCGTGAAGTCTTGTATCTTGAAATAAACCTATTGGGCAAGTTTAGCAAGGAGACATGAATGGCTTTCTGCTTAATGTGTCGGATAAATAGTACGATAACCACAACAATAATAATAGTAATAGTAAAAATAATAGTAATAATAATAATAATAACAATAATAATAAAAGTCTTTATTAAGCCCTCTAAACAACAAACGTGTTTAGTTACAATGATATGAACTCAGCAAGTATAAAACTAATTAACTACTATTAAATTACTAACTAACTAACAAGAGAACAAACATCTATTAACAAAAGTCCTCTTGAAACGTTCAGTTCTGACAAGCGGGAGAATATAATTATGGCGCCTCTTACGTAGCGTGACCATTGGTCGCTCTGGTGGCAAAAGGTCATCTAAAGCTGTTGTAAAATCGCTGTCGGTGATCTTGGCCCACAACTTCTTATCTTTTAGAGTAATAATATTTTCAATCGAAAAAAGTTCTTTGCAGTAACCGAGCTTACAAGCTCTCAAACGATCGCAAACGATCGTTCAGAAGACTTAGTGATTAATGAAGGCGTCACCACAGAATCCCGAAAAGAACCTTCATGGCATGCGCACCAAAATAAACCTTGGCAGAACACCTTCGAAATAATAACTATTCCTCTCGTAACTTTTAGGCTGGGAAAACACAGGTGACAGAATTTAACTTGTTAAGGAATTGGCACAAGCTTTTCTTTAAGCACCTCTATCTGGTATGATAATCATACACTTTTTCCCAAAAGTCATCTCTTCCAAGAAAGCCTATGGGAGATTTTTTTAATCCAGCTACCATTTATGATAGTAAAAGAGATCTTTAGTTCGACCCACCTGCGCATACGAGTTGATCCCAGTACAGAAGGGATCCTCTACAAGGGTAGGTTGCTGACCGTCTGCCGTCGCCTGATGTTGCCTCTTCTCACCAAAAAATATAGTAGCACTCAGAGAGACTTCAAGGGATTTGGAAGGAAACTTCTGACCTAAAAAGACGATGGTGGAAGGCGCTAAAGTCTGCATCGCAATGTTCGCGTTCGACACCACCCACGAGCCTGTAAGCAGGCTCTCATTAGCGCTACGCCATGAGCGATAAAGCCTGTGAGAACTGGCAAGCGAGTTGCGTACGAGAGGTCCGTGGGGATCTGATTTCGCGTAAAACCCTCGCAGACATCTCACGCGCCTGCACGTTCGCCAGCTTTAACCCTTTACACTCTAACATCAGTATGTATATTCTCCATACTGTTCTTTATACATTTCCTAAGGTGCTGATACGGAGAATGAATTAAACAGTCCAGAGCTTCGTTTCCTTTATTCTCATGACCTTAATGCTTGATTTAGAGATGATAATGTAGGGAGAAATTAGATGCCAGTCACTCTTAGAGGTCAAACGAGTTCAACCCGCAGGCGACAGAGCTAAATAACGTATACGCATGCGCTGGGTTTTGTCGCGGAAACACGGATTTTGAGTCGTTCGCATGGTTGATTTCCTATTCTGTTGTTTCGA